AGTAAACATAGTGGAGCCTGCTGTTGCCTCTCAGCACGACATAGACAGTTACTGTAGCTAGAGCAGTGTCTGTCAGTGTCTGCTGAGACACCCGTCGAGTCACTGGTTACTCCACACTAATAGTAGGAATACATGATTCTCTGTTTACAGAGCTCCAGCTGTGTACCTGCGTAAAATACGCATCAGAAATGCAGAAATAGGCAGTAAAATAAAATCCATTAAAACGAACATTACAGATACGCTACAATAATAAAACTTGTGCGTATCATCAAAATATTGTGAAGTAACCCTGCGTATTCGATTAGCAAATCTGCAACTTATTTTGAAATTATAAACGGGCATTCCGTCACTCTTGCCAAACTCCACGATGTCAGTTACATCATGATCATTTGCCATCACACTTTCTTGTTGAAGTATCGTGGTATTTTTGAGTCCTATAAAGCTCTGGAACCCACATGACACCAGTTTGCAGGGACTAGATGAATAGTGTTTTTAAATAATTAACTTAAATACCCACATGTGTAAAAGCTAGTGGGTAACAGAAATTTGAATACCCAGATAGAATTACTGATACCCAATGATTTTAAAATGACAAAAGCTTATCTGGAGCTGTGGTTTAGTTGTCCTGTTCTTGTCACTAGATGTGAGATACTGAAACAAACTACTTGTCAGTATTGATTATGAAACTGTATTTGTTTAGCTATATAATGTATAATATCCCTGGTAGATAAGAATAGGTTCCCAGTTTCCTATCCTTGTTATAAGACTACAAAGCATCCTATAGGATCGGGTGGTTGGACTCTGTGACTTGGTTGATTGAGTGTTGTCATGCCTCAACATTGTACATAACATCAATCATTGGTTTGTGTGGTCTTACATGATTATTTACAGGCTGCCTAGATGTGGATGGAATATTGCTGACTGCTGCTTAATGCAAAAAACAAAGAAAGAGCGCATGAATTTACTTGTTGTACATGATGAAAGTAATGGATTCCTTGTCATAAACCGGGTCATGCTTATGCTTGTTGTGTTAAAAGTAAACATTTTGTCTCTAGATCATGTAGATAGTCTCGATTCAAATACTATAGCATGAAACGATAGTCAACTATCCCCTTATTAATTTCTAACATGGACATGAATAATATTGTTTGATATATTTAATCTTAATTGATGGGTTTGGGGCAGTCGGGTAGCCTAGTGGTAAAAGCGTTCGCTCGTCACTCCGAAGACCCGGGTTTGATTCCCGACATGGGTACAATGTGTGAAGCCTATTTCTGGTGTCCCGTGATATTGCTGGAATATTGCTAAAAGCGGCGTTAAACCATATTCACTCACTCACTATTTGATGGGTTTAAAAGAATAAGCATAAGCTCAACTTTCTAATGTCTGGGACCATTATTACTGTTGTAGAAAGTCTCTGGGCTAGAGTTCATACTAGGCTGTATCATTGTGCCTTTCACTATGTTCACAGTCTTAGTTTTCAGAAAGAACATGTTATTAATTTTATTATTTAATTTTCGAAAGGAGCATATTCATTAAGATTACTGATGGGCCTTATCATGCTAATGGGGTATATTACCTTGAGTCATTGAAGAATGTGTTGATGAAATGAAGGAAAAGTTCAAAATCATAAACCTAGCACTATTTGCAGTGGTGTGTCCATATAAAAGGTAATTTGGTCATAAGGTATGTTTGATGATTATGATCATGATGATGAGAAACAGAAGAAACATGTTTGAAAATAAAATAAGAGTCTATGCTCAGTGATGCAAAATCAACTAGGGATGTAAAATCAATTCATTATTCAGAGAAGGCTGCTGAAAACTTTATCTGTAGATAGATTCAAGTCAGACATGAGACACGTCGCATCTGTATTTACAATCCCAAATGGAAACAAATATGTCATTGATGACACATCAGATTCTTGGAATGGACCACATGTTTGCAGCCATGTCTACAATGAACACTGGAATCAACATGTCCAAGTAGCTTGAAAAAGTGAGACATTTACTACAGAAAGCGAGTGATTGTCTGTCCTCCAGCTTGGTCCTTTGTCATGGTCATGTGACTTCCTACTGTGGCCCGACAGGACACCAGGCTTCCTGAGCTGTGATAACCCCACCACCTCTGGTCCCCTCACCACCACCCCTGGTGCCCCCTGCCTCTCTCAGCTGCAACTCACAGCGTTATCTGCAGCCAGCAGGAAGGTGCCTGCTGTACTGTGATCAGAAGATATGGATGAACATGGAATAGTTCCATGTTCAGGATGACATGTGAGAAGTTTACTGACGCTAGCAGCTTTGTAATGCATATCACTGTTACATTGACAAATTAGGGTTAAAAATTAACCTATTTTACACAAGTCCGTAAAAATTATATCTTACAATATTCCTACAGAGCTGCTATCTACATAATCATGTTAATGGTAGAACTCGTTTTGTTGACATTGACCTGAGCCACCCAAATTCCTGACTAGAATTTATTGATATTGGTAGAATTATTGCAATAAGATAAGTTGACTTGAGGCTTGAAATTAGCATTGGTTGCATAACTTTTTCATGCCAAGGATATAAGATGATAAATATTGTCAATCCTTAGTAACTGCCTGACAGTAATAAACATGATATATGACAACTTGTTTATGATGGTAGCTGTAAATGATTACTGTACAGACTTCATTAACATACCAAGTTCATGGAGGGGTTAACATGGTTAAGCACATTGCTGTATTAATCATGTTAATGAGAATTGTGCATGTTAAGTGAGTCAATAAACATGATAATGTGTACTTGGATTCTGGAGTTAACATATTCACCATATTAACTGCTCTGGTGCATAAACAATATTGTCATGAATTAGTTGGACAGTATTTTCAACTGGTCAAATATGTGGCACTGGATTGAAAATGTCAATTTTATTGGTTACTTTTTAAGTTAGACAGAAGTTTATAAATGATATTCATGATATACTTGATATATGCAGTGTTTCAGATTGGTCAAGCACAGTGACTGATCTGCATATTGTTACACAAAATTACCAAATGGTATTTTTTACAATTTTAGTGTAAAATGGTTAGAAGAATGTCATCAAAATTTGTAAAAATCATACAATTGTCCTATTGACATTTGTCTCCAGCAAAATCACTGTATCCATGGTATCCGGCATTCCTGTCTTTGAAACAATGGCCGAGAAAAAGGTTTTGCATACTATCAAACTTCAGCCTGATCAGCTGGTGGTATTTTGACACTTCCCACTAAACACTCTGCTTCCATCTCTTGTAGCAGGATGTGTAGGAGATAAGGCCTCATGTGTTACTATCAACAGTGTACGTTCTAGTTAACTTCACACACATGCTGCACACACAATGTACACAGACAACTCCAGCTGACAGAGAGGAAGGGTACATGTGTGTATCATGTCAGTACATACATGGAACAGCTGCGTAAACATACTGTACATGCTCTGTATACCTGGGCAGTCATACCGGGACCGTTAGTGGGCTACTATCATGTTCTGCTTAGCCAGGTAGAACACAGCTAGTGCAATATACACAGATGTATTTGCATGAACATCATATAATATACAACAATGGTGAACAACAATAGACTTCCCAGGGACCGAGCATGTTCCTAGGAAGGCGAGGACAAGTTCAACTCTGTCATGTCTGTAGACACTTCTTCTGGACCGATGTTTATACTGACTAACGATTATACCTGGTATACCATGGGTTTGAATAAGCTGAGCAATCACCAGAGAGTCGAAGTGTGTGGACCAACCATATTAGGGATTAACATTAATTTGAATGTTACTGTACAGCTGTATGCTCACCATTGTTGTATATATTGCTTAGCTAAATGAGGGGCGGTCGGGTAGCCTAGTGGTTAAAGCGTTTGCTTGTCACACCGCAGACCCGGGTTCGATTCCCGACATGGGTACAATGTGTGAACCCCATTTCAGGTGTCCCACGCCATGATTTTCCTGAAAAATTGCTAAAAGCAGCGTAAAACCACTCACTCATTCTGTTAGCTAAATGATGTTCATGTAAAAACAGCTGTGTAGGTTGTACTCATGGTTTCTTGTTCTACCAGACTAAACAAACCCCTTCAGTCAGAACATGACATTACTGTATACTGTCATATGAGAAATTAAAATGAAGATACCATCAGGGTGGCTTTGCTCATTGAATCCATAGTCATTCTTTTCCCATCCTGCCAAGGGTACTGATAGCATGGCACATGTCATAAGCAGTTAATGGTGCACTACAATATGCTGTTGTGTGCCTATAGGCATGATCATGATGATAGGGCATGTAGGGTACACGACAATTTGTGCAAAAGGGTGGGTTAGTATGTTGTCTGTCTTGCAGATTTTCTACATGAGTTAATTGTCAACAAAATTCTAGACAAATTTTAAACATTAGGTAACACTAATCAGTTCTCGTTATCATGATAATGAGAATGGAATAATTATAATTAATTATAGCTATAGTCTTCCTTGATAACCCTTATAGTGCTTATTGATCAACCATTGTCATCACTTTGTGGAAAAGTTTAGGGATGGCCATCATAGATAAAAAAAAATGACTGAATCTAGGTCATTTGTCCCTCTTCATATTGTTCAGTGTACATACACCCAGTGCCTATCAACCATGGTAACAGCAGAGTAGTGTTCAGACAAGTAACAGTTGAGTTAATTATAATGATGGGGAATACACTGATACATCAAAATTAGAAATGCACAACCTTGAGCATGTTGAGAATTCAGGGCATACATGAACATGATGAAAACAATGATGGTCTTGTTTATTGTTAACCGTAACAAGGCACGGTCTGTCCCAAATGGATTTTTTTAAATGGTCGATGGGCCCAAACAGGAGATTTAGCTTCTCTAGTCAGAGCACTGCAGGAGTTATAGAGAGGAATGAATGCTTAGCTCAATGTCTAATTATCATGATGATATATATTTTAATGATTTAATGCAAATGGTATGTTCCTTTCCAGGAGATAACTTGCACTGTCCACCACTAGAACGTCCATACAAGTCCAAGGTCCTTGCTCACTACCCTGAAAACGTACAATGGAACCTGTTCGACAAGGATGCTGTTGGCATGGTAAGTGTTGCTCTCTGACCTAAAGGAGCCTCCTGAGGCCCATTCCACAGAGGGATCTTAGCTCTAAAGGGTCGTAACTTCCATAGTTTAACCATGTTAACATAGACGGATGACAATTATAACACTAAGATGACCTTGTGGAACAGGGCCTGGGTGTTGTTTGTTTCAGGAGAGTTTGAGAGTAGTTGTGTTTGTGGTCCAAATTATTATGTGTACACTAGGGCTGCACGGTATTACCGGTATACCGGTATACCGCAATATGAAAATGAAACAATTACGTATCGCGATACGTTTGTGATGTACCGGTATATTGACAATGATTTTGTGTTTTCAAATTGAACTTGCTTATGATTAATTATTATTACTCATTCAACACCGTAGGCCCGTAATACCGGCCAAGAAGCATTCCCAGACACCATAGGCCGGTATAGGCCCTACCGGCCAAGCCGTAGTCACGTCAAAATAGTATATAATTTTTTAAACCTACCAGTCATATCTTTCATTTACTAAATCTATCACATTTCACAATGTCTGAAATACGTATTCAATTTCAAATGATCATTTTTTATCAATAGATTAAGAAATTATTCACTATTTCCCGTAATGTTATTTAAAATAAAAATCTCAGACACGCACTTCGAAAACGGGTCCACATCGAACATGTCAAAGAGCAAAATAAAGACGTTTCAAGCAAAGCTTTGAATATAGTATACAAAGTTATAGATACAATCAACAAAAATATATCTAAAAGTTGTCAAACTTACTGCCAAGTTATTATTTCCATCTTTTCGTGCGATCGCTTGTAATGTAAATCAAATGACATCGGCTTTCGTCGCCTAAATTCTCGGCTCGGACACGATGTTTAATGCCAAAATTATGCATGAAAAAACTTTGTCACAGCTCGTAACCTAGCATGATACATCAACAAAGCACCATATTTTTAATATAAATTGCGATTTCCTGCTTAAGATGTTCAGAATGGCAGGATAAACAAAAAGATTTCGTCAAAATCTAAAATTCATAACACAACTGTAATTTGATTGACTGCCTTAGATCACGTGCTCAAATTTGACCAATCACAAACCTTGTAGCAGATTTTGGCGCGAAAGCGTCATTAGAAACCAATTTTTATCCAATAAAATCGATTGTTATAACTACGAAAAACTCCAGGTGATGTTACGAGCGTGAAGATGAAAGAATAAGCTTTCTAGCGATGTGTCATATGCCAGTCTTCGACGAACGTGTTATTCATACGAAGCCTCGAAAACAGTGGTATTTCTTCATGTTACTGAGCGGACAGGCGCTGTTATCGGGAAATGGGTGATGACAGATACTATTGATAATTCTTTTTCAAAAGCTTTTTCAATAACGTAAACAATAAAAATAAAAAGGAAATAGGTAAGTGCATTTTATGAAATCGTATATTTGCCGAAAATCGTCAAATTTTCGCTTCCTTGGTCCTTAATCTGGACGTTGTGACTGAACATAATTAAGTTGTAAATTAATTATTTAAATAATGTGATAAACAATACTTTCATATTTATAAACAATAGGATCAGACCTTTCAAATGGTGTATAATATAGAGTTGCAAAGATGTTTTACAAGCAGATATTTTCTTTGATAAATGTTGGTTTCATCTATCACACAGGAATCTCTGGTTACTGGGTGTCACAGCAGTAAACGCTTCTGGTTGACTGGTGTTGAAAGAGTTAAAACAACTAATATTGTCCATCTTTTTACCTGCGATGTCATTGTGATGAAACTGCACGAACAGCTCTTTGATAAACAATTACAAACTTACGTTACCACAAACACTGGACCCATATTATACATAAATACCTCTAACATTTCTTCCTGAACCTATGAGCTAAACGCACCCATGAAGTCACTGAGTCTGGAGAATTGATATCACTAATATTTACTGCATGTTGGACTTTACCATTATGGTGCCTTAAACAGCTATTCTTGAGTCGAATAGCACAGCCAGTCAGACACAATATACAATTGTCTGTTTTGTCTGATGGTTCTGGTTTTTCCCTTTTTTTTCCTTTGAATAAAGCTAAACTTTGTATGATTGTACTGTGATTCAATGTGGAGGTAAAAGAATCTTAAACAGTGGACAGAACTCAATAAGTTTTCTTCCACAATATATTGCAGTACGTATTGCAATACAGAGGAATGTATCGCAATATATCGCAATACGAAATTTGGGGCAATACACAGCCCTAGTGTACACATCAGTAGAAACTAGGGCTGGGACGAGTCCAAATTGACTACCCGGGTACCCACATCGCTATTACCCGACCCTACCCGGGTACCCGCTACAGGGCTCAAGAGTTTGGTACAAAATGTCCGATTGGAAATAGTTTGAGTGTAGCCCTGGTAAAATGTATTCAAATATATGTATAAAACGATCTGGTCATGCATACACTGAAGTTGACTGAAGTGTTATTTTTATTCAAACCTAAAAGGTCAGAAGCAATGGTGCTTAGGCTGTAAGAAATGCGAACATTAGTGTCTTTTAGTCTAACCATAGGGTTCTAGATATTTTTTTATGATTAAACAATATATCACATAACTAACCACGGGTCCGGGTAGTCCTGTGGGTACCCGGGTCCTACTCAGTACCTACCCGACCCGAGTACCCGAGTTGCCCGCCCCAGCCCTAGTAGAAACTGACAGTAGTCTGGTCCCCATCCAAAATGATTATTGTATCCATGCAACGGTAGGAATTATTAAAGGTTTTACCCTTGTAGATGTTATACAATCATCCCATAAGGACAATATGGACTACTAAATAAATGACTTAATCTTTCTACCTATGCAAAGTTTGTTTTTTGTTTGTTTTTTTGCAAAATCTTGTGCACATAGTGAATGTCATTGTATTTATACCATGTATACTGTATATTCTGATAACAACACTTATTTGTTGAGTGTAGATATCTTTTTTATCCAAGTGGAAAATCTATCTGTATGACTTTCTATGTACAATATAGGCATGATAGATGAACAGTGTTTTGAGAAAGGGGAGTTTATTGAGAATTCCTGAATGGTGCATGACAATGTTGTAAATAGTTCCTTTGAGGAAAAGACAGAGTGCTTAACCTTCCTGGATATGTGCATTATACTTTCAGTTATTTTCCAAAAGAAACAAAAGCCTTATCTTACTTCTGAAACCATGCAAACATGATTTTGTGTATTTGAATATATCTGGTAGGTGGACTTACTTTCTTCTCTTTCATTCAGCTCAGCCTGCCAAAAGGGTTGACGTTCCGTACTCAGAAGGATTCCCGCCACCCTCGCTTCCACACCTTCATCATCACACGGGAAGACGGGTCACGGACATTTGGGGCTACATATGTGTTCTACGAGGAGGTGGGGAACAAACAGATCTGTGCCGCCATGCAGACATTACAGTCCATGTTCCAGGCCGAAACTGGCCCGAGTCAGCACCGCTCCTCCAACTACCCCCCTGTACCCCACGACAGCCCAGTCTTTATGAAGAAGATCATCCCAGCCAGCCGGGAGAAGGTGAAGACATTTGACATGAGTCGGGACAAACTGTATGTGACAAAGTGTATCTGCCTAGTGACACAGATGCCGTATGTTCGTGTGTGTAAGATGTACCTCAAGCAGCTGCACGAGGCTGTGACCCGCCCGACCCAGCCACCCCTGCCCCTGGAGTGTTACGTGTATAACATGCTGTACGACATCCCCCTTCCGCCACCGGGACGCTGCATGAAGCTGTTCGGTGTCTCCGGACCCATCTTTTGTCAACGTCCAGGTGAGATCATACTGACACTTCATATGATTAGAGTGTGGGCCAAGAAATCTTTAGAAATCAGCCATAGAAACTCATCTTCCCAAGGCAAGAGAGTTAACTGACTATAAAAGTCCAGTTTCCACCCTTGCCGAACTAGGTTGGAATTACTGGGCTCATCGTAGCGCCACAAGTGGCTATTACCAGTTATGTCCCTTCCAAGCCTCTCCTATGGACCAATCAGATTCCACCTCTCGTATCACTTGCGTTTGCTTCACACAAAATGGTGGCGCCCAGTCAAAACGATCTGATCGATAATCAAGATCTATATTGTGATAAAACGGGTCTAACTTCAAGAAATGCATCAAATCATGTGAGCACCTTGATTTAAAACATGAAAAGATTTGGAAAATATCTGCTGACAACGAGTTGGCGGTGCACATGCTTTGCAAATCCTGCAATCGACCGAAATCTGCATGACAGTTTACAAACCGGATTTCGATTTTGGTGCGCCAATTTGATTGGACCATGCACAAAGTCGTTAGTTCAGCCAAAATTTAACTCCATAATACCAGCCTAGTTCGGCAAGTGTGGAAACTGGACTTTTATAGTCAGTTAACTCTCTTGCCTCGGGAGATGTAGAAACTAACAGTTTTAGCCCACTAGTCTTATAATGGTAACATATAGGAAAACCGTTAGGAAGAGCAAATTTCTACTAGTCATTAGGATACCTTAACTATTGGGCATTTTGTCAAGGACTATACATGCTATAGGACTAGTGCCAATTTCTAACGCTGATTATGATAATCAGAGGCAACTGTTCATCTTGTTTGACAAATCATCTTGAGAAACAGTTGACGATTGGTCAATTAACCATGCTTATGATCTGCCACAGCTCCCTAGTTGTTGTCATTTTATCATCTAGAATAATCTGATAATATAACGTTGACAAATCTTGTACCAAACCTTTCTCATATAAACCTTGTAAACTGTATTGTCAAAACAAGATCAATCTCTAGAAATCAGGATTGATTAATTGATTTTGGGGACCTCTCTTTCAGGTAGACATCAATATTATTGATCAGTTCTCACCACCCCTAGTTTAGACATGTTAATGTGATGTTATCATGATTATGGAAGTATGATGATAAACATTACATGTTTCTCTGACTTCACAATGTTCACTGAAGAAAAAGTTTGATATTTGAGCTTGATTATAATCAGTGATACTTGTATCTTGTACTAGGTGATGTTTAGATTATGTTGTCTGTGTGTCCTGCCAGGTCTGTCTGAGCTGCCTCTGTTTGACTACTCTCTGTGGAATCTGTTCCACAAGCTGGGGATGGAGAATGTTTTGCAGGTGTTCACCAGTATCCTGCTGGAACACCAAATCTTGCTGTACTCATCAGGTGAGTCTTGGCCATCGGTTACAGTAACCAACACTGGGAGCATTCATCCCATCTCAGACTATTTGTCATCAGTATTCATGACTGTACCGGATATTCAACTTTGTCATGTTTCTAGATGACCCCACCCCTATCATTTCTCTGCTATTTTGTCATCATTAATATCTTCTGATAGTGCTGAGATATATCACATTTTCCACTACACACATTAGGTAGGTGCTGATGGAGAAAATATCACTTTTCATGCTCATTAACCGTGTTCACCATGTCAATTGAAAATCTTATAAATCAAATTCTAATTTAGATTGTTTGTTATGCTCTTCAGAGAGAAGCATCCAACAATCAATAAAAGAGGTCGGGTCATTATTGGCTGGAGGTGCCTTTATTGATTAAGGAAACTGAATTGTAACAATTGTTAGTCATTTAATCATTGCCCATGTATATTTATCGTTATCATTTGCCATTATATTAAATATGATTATCTGAAGATAAAGAATTGGAAACTGAAAATCCTTTTCAGAACAGTGGTTGAAATCAAATTATCTCAAGCAGAAGCAGCCTTGATTTTTGCTTCTGTAAATACCAAATCAGCAGAAGAAGACTTAAGATTATTCTGTTACCTTTATTCCAGATTACCACAAGTTGATGCTTGTTGCGGAGAGCATCAACGCTCTCATCTGCCCCTTCTCCTGGCAACATGTGTACGTTCCTATTCTCCCCGCATCCCTCCAACACTTCCTGGATGCCCCTGTACCATTTATCATGGGCCTGCACCGAGGCCAGGAGGACCGCTCCGATCTCAAGCTGCCCAGTGAGGTGAGTCTACAGTCTCATGGTGGTGTTTGGAATTTGGGGGCACGGATGGCCTTGTCGTCTAAAGCGCCATGTTTCGCTGTGCAGAGTTGCGTCCCTTTGGCACGTCAGAAACCTATGATTGTGGGTTCGAATCCCGGTTCGCCCCGATTCTGTTTCTAGGTTTGTCAGTACCATTCCCGTGCTCGTGGGTTTCACCGAACTGGTAAACGTCTAAGACCTGCATCACTTCGAGATTTCCTCCCACATTAATCTGACACGCCGCGATATAACTGGAATACTGTTAAAAGCGGCGTTAAACCCAACTCACCCACTCACTGTTTTGAATTCATGTTCACGTAATTTGTGAAATCACAGATAGACAGTTTGACTATGTTTCTGATTAAGTATTCGGTATTTATTGTTTACAGAAACGTGTAATGTTACTTGATTTTCTCATTTGAAGAATGTGACATTAGGTTCTGTTTCAAGATGTTGTGTATTTCATTTGAAAATGACATCGTGTATTTTGCCAGCTGTTTCAAATGAACTCCCAGGTATCAAATACCCAGTTACACCAACCAATCTTTGTGACTGTCTATGTTGATCATATGTGATTACCGTAGACGACGTAATAAGCACCCCACTCTAATAAGCGCCCACGGTGATATTTGCTAAGATATTGGCTAGTGAAAAATCCCAATTAGCACCCCTTCCGATTGATCAATGTACACAAGACTTATTTATTCGCGGATAATACACAGTCATGTGTTATGTGCACCCTTAATTATGGGCAATTAAATTCAGGAAAAATATATCTGTCGTACATAAAGATTTCAGGCTGTCAGCATTAATAATGAAATTTATCTTTCAGCTCTCTTTTTTTCACCAAAATAATATTCAAATAAGAGCCCCCTATTTCTAGTTTTGAGAGCGCCCTGGACGCTTATTACGTCGAATACGGTATCTAAAATAGCCCCTTCAAATCATGAGATTAATGGTTCTATGAAAAATAACGGTTCTTGCCGATTGTGTAAGATATTACAGCATCAAGTCACAGGGAACTGAACTCAAAAGCTTTCCTAGCCCTGGTAAAGATAAAATGTCCTTGTAATATTAATCAATGGAAATTTGTACAAGCCCTGATGGAATTTTAACTAGTCCTTGGCTAGCGGGCTAGTGTTAAGTTCTGACCCTGTGTTCAGTGGCTGACGTTGTGTTTTAGGCCAACATGTGTTTTGTCGACATTGACCTGTGTGTGGTGGAGGTGGCTGAAGACCTGCCTGTGTTCCCCCATCGGACAGAGCTGATAGAGGAACTGACCCCAGTGATCCAGGAATACCAGGACAAACTGGGAAGGGAGACTACTACCACCAGCACCAAGAGCTACCCTGGCACCCCACGCAGAGACAACAACAAGGTCCTCTCCCAGACAGCAGAGTCAGGAACTGGGAGCTGGCCCAACTCACCCAAGAAGATGGAGATTCTGCAGCAGAGTGAAGCATGGTTGAAGATTTCCGACCTGGCAAAGAAGACTGGAGTATGGGAGTCCATTGAGGATTTTGCTGAGGAGGGCAAGATGGCTACGAAGGAGAAAGCAAGGGAAGATCCTGATCCTAGTATAATGCCTGCGAATGAGGTTGATGAACTAAAGTTTAACAACTGCATCAGGGAGATCTTCTGTAACAGATTTGTTCACATGTTCATGTCGTATGAGGCATTTGTGATCCAGCCATCACAGGACATGGACTCTTGGCTGAACAGCAGAGAAACCATGCACAACTTTGACAAGGCAGCCTTCCTCAGTGATCAGCCAGAAGCCCATCTCCCGTTCCTCTCTCCCTTCATAGAAACTCAGATGTTCACCACCTTCATTGACAACAAGATCGTGTCTCAGTGGGAGAGCTGCGATGCTTCTCTCACACTGTTTGACGACAGGATTAAGGCGCTGAGGGAGTCTGGGGTGGAGACGAGGACAGACTTCTACAGTGAATGTTCCACAGCTAAGGATACAGGTGAGGGCCAGGCTGTGTGTTCAGTCATACAGTGTTGTTCAATTGGGACAGGAACTGTTTGGGTTCTAAGGGACAGACCATTTTGTCTTTGGGGCCTTAGATTTCTGTTTAAGATTATTTTTCAGTCGTGCTTTAAATACAAATTATTTTCCTCAATTTTCCACACAGGAGGAACAGATTATATTTTTCCAAACAATACAATTTCATGTGTAGACATTCCCAGGACAGTTTAACTGAACGTGATAAAGTGGAATTTTCTTCCTCAAGTCATCATGTTCTTTGGTAGGATTTTTTTTTTAAATAATCCATCCCCATGAACAAAGAAATGGATAAGTTGATGGGCAACATGTACAATTTTAGAATTGACTTTCCATACCATGTCAAGTGTAAGTGGGAATTGAACCCAGGTCTTAGGTGACACAAACAAATCATCGATAGTCCATTCTGTCTTTAAGTTATGGACATGAATGATAATTGGAATGATTTAGCTAATTCATGAGCTAGACTGTTCTTGTACACCCACTAAATCACCATCTTTGATATTGCAGAGGCAAGCATTGAGAAGCGAGCTACGTACATTGATCATGTCGCATCAAAGCCTGCAATGCCATGTAGCCCGTTTGAACCCGTGAAGATCACCACTGGCTTCTTCCCTACACTCAACAAGGACGTTCTCAACACAGAGCCTGTCAGCAATAAGTAAGCAGCTGTTTCATTCATGTCATTAAAGCAGTAAAGCTGTCAGGTGTGCAATGGGATCATATCAGGGATTTATCTAGACCGGCTCGGAGGCCCTTGATCTACACTAAATGATAAAAATTCCCAATTTGACTTTTACATTTCCCAATTCCTCAGAATTTATGAAAATAAGAACATAAGAAAAAACAATTTTGAACAATTTTGGGCTAACTATTTACTTTCTGCTATAGATCCAAGGTGCGAGATAATGCCAAGTGGCGGAGGAAGGATCGGATTCTGCAACATGCAGAACACCTGCAACTCAATTCCGACCAGAGAGAGGTGAGAGGAGATGTCCCTCTTTAGTCTGCTTCAGAAGAGACTGACATAACATACTCAGGCTCTTTCATAGGATAGTTACATTGAGCTCGATCAAAATGTGAACCATGGAAATGACTTGCTATTTTGTAAAAATAATGTGTTAAAATTTTAGCAATATAGTTTATTGAGTATTTGTGAATTGTCTTGCGTGTGGGAGTCAAAAACAGTCAACCTTGGTTATGGTAAAGTCAGATCATGAGGATAGATCAAATTATTGTGGTCTATGTCCCCAGTGGTGTTGAATGTGTTCTTACAATGTATAGTTTGGATATAGTGAATTAATTCTAAAGCTCATGTTGACATTGTTATACTCCAAGTTGACTGTTGTGACTTGTATTTGCTGCAGGATATTGTGAGCATCTTGATGTGCATGCCGTGCTACCACTTGATTGCCCACCCAGTGGGATCTCACTCCAACATGCATGCTTAGACATGACAATGTAGAGGACATCAGTTATCCTAATGACGTCTTGTAGACGAGCTAATGACAAACAGTAATATCAGATGTTATTTGACATGGAATTAGGAATGATTGATGTTCGTTACACCTGCAGATTTGCAATGTCTTAATTTTGTTTTTCTTTTTTTCTTTCCTCTAGAACGACCAAGTAATTAGTTGATGCCTTGTTTGTTGAGTTTCTTTTGTTCGATGTGTTTATGTTGTATTATATACATACATGAAGTTTGTAACATCTGAGTAGACTCAAGTTTGTCGAACTTATCCAGGATCTGTTAGTTGCTTTGGTGGGGAACATTTAGTGGCAATGTTTGGTTTGAGGAATAACTATCTTAATACATTTGTATTTTGTGATTACATATAATTTATAAAGTAACTTGTAAATCCATTATCAATTAACCAGTGTATCACATCTTCATTTTACTATGACAAATACTCTGGATCCATTTGGTACAATAGCTTTGATTCGGGAAGGGAGTTGAGTGTTGTGCCTTTTGAATCAGGGGTTAAAACAATCTATGGTAGCAGATGGGTCTAAGGGTTTTATTATGATATGATGGATGTGTATTACACTGGATAATCGAGAATGCTGGTATCGTAGATCCTCTATTAAACACCAGAACTCGAACAAACGCCAGGCCTTGAATATATGCCAGGTCTTGAATAAATGCCAGGTCTCGATTAAGCTGGGCTTTGATTTAACGTTCTTTTCCACAAAATTCTCCCCATTCTTATCGTAGCCAGTAAACACTTGGGGTAAAGAGTATCTGAAAGAAATATACAATCCGTCTTTAAATATCAAGGAAATATGGAAAATCACATGTTAACACCTTAAACTCAGATAGTACAAACTTGTGCTTGTAATTTAGCATCTTACATTTGACTGAAACTAGCAACTTTGACTTTTGTTTCTAAAGTTTGCCTTGGCTGAAAAACATGCCAAACAGTGGCTAGTGAGTACATCCAGGCTGTCTGTCTGTCCACTTGTCTGACTGTCTGTCTGTCTGTCTCTCTGTCCGTGTGGTCAGACAGTAGACTCGCTTCAGCTTATGCCAAGATAGTCATTTCATTCAGGGGACTGAAATTTGTAGAGCAAAAAACTAATGAACAACAGTTAATACACCATGAGTGAATAAATGTACAATTAAATTAATTAGTAGTCAATAAAGTCAGTTTGGGGTAATCATAGTATGATGTCAACACATCATTTTCAGAAACAAGTTGGGAAACATTTTCAATCCTCTCAGTGGAAAATGCAGTGAATTTTCAAAGTCAACTTCTTGCTGAAAAGCTTGGTCAGGCTGTAAGATTGCTGGTGATTTATTGATGTCAAAGGGATTCTATGTAAGGTGTAACTGGGTTCCCCTGAATGATATTGCTACAGATGACATATGCCAAGTTGCCACTTTGAGTGCACCTTTCTGTTCTGTCTCACCACTGACACTGCTAACAATACTAACTCACGTGTACATCTGTTCCAGTGCAGCAGAGTTAGGCTGTCTCACTAACTCACACATATACACAGCAGTGTAACCTTGAGTCTAGCTACCTGTCTACTGTTATAGGTTGTGTTTAACAAATATTGGTCAGAGGTATGCCTGGCCCCAGCATGGCTTTGTGTGACTTGCTCATGCAAGCCTTAGATGATATGGTTCTAGAGACTGAGAAGGTTCATGTTATATCATTTATAATGAGTAAGTTATGAGATAAGTTGTTGAGGTGACTGTATATCACTGATCACAGGACATTAAGAAAAAGAGGCTTTGATGAATAATTTTAAATTATTTCATTTAATTACTGCAATTTATTTGACTTTGGAAAATAAATATTGGAAAATAAATCCCAATTTTGAAAAAAATAAAAAAAATTCTCGAAATATGCCTGCGAAGGGCATTTTTGATAAAATCCTGGATAAATCCCAGTGTTTAACATGAGAGAGAAGTCAAATGGGTTGCTTAGATTTCTTATGGGCTCCAAGTACAGCAGGAATATTGATGAGTGTGGTGTTAAACAACAAACAAAGAGGTTCCAAGGTGTGGTTGTGAGAATTATCAGATGTGATGTGTGACAGTGTTAGTTTTCAGATGCAGTTGTGGGTTTAGGTTAGGGTGTTAACTTTTGTGTTCATGAGATCAGATTGAGAGAGTTATCAAATAAGTTGTGAATGTTTTGCTGTCTTGCTAGATGGCATTGTAACAGTGAGCAGATGAGAAAGTTTTAGATTGTAGATTGTACCAGGGATCAATTATGGATCAAACATAGATTATTTAGTTTTGCGCTCTGTTTTCTCAGTAAAGTAGGGTGTGTGGTACCTATCTTTTATCATTTGTATGGTGACTGCTATCTCTCAATATTTCATTTCTTCACAAATAGCCATTCTACGTTTCTACTCTATCACCATCATGTCTGTATAAACTATAAACTGAGATAAGGGAGATAATCAACATGCCTTTTTGATGAAGGGAGATAATCAACATTTGTCTTGTATACAGACCACTAAATGGTACCCAAGGCAACGATGGGTAGAGAATGCCAATCTGTAGTGTTTGAGTGTATGGTGACAGCTACTACTTCAGTCAATGTGTATATATTTAAACATGACATGGTGGAAGGTACTACATACTGCAATATTAATGCTTCTAACTAACTAATTTCATATTGAGAGAGTGTTCTGTTTGATTCATTTTACAAAGTAGTTTAAGAGAATCATTTGATATGGAATCATAAAATCCAAGAGAGTCAATACTAAGAGAACTATATTACCAGCGTGAATTTAGTAATGTTTAATTTCATAGTCATCATGTTCCTACATCCTTTGCTAGAACCGTATTGATAATTATCATCTTTCTCTACCAGCTTGAAACCTTTCTAGAGCAGTATCTGTCTCAGTTGCATTCACGTGTGCCTTTCTTCATCAATATCTGTCTAGTATCTTGAAGTATCAACTGATATATCTATGCCTGTTTTTCCTTGTTACATTCAAGTCATGATTTAGTTTGCACAATTTATGTCTATTCTTCTGTATTGGCAGATAACGTACTTCAGTTTTAACTTTCATTTCATCTCTAATTAAGTTGTTATTTTCTTCTTTTTTATCATTTCTTAATGACTCTTTTGATTTGTTTAAACTCTACATCTGAAACCACATGCTATTGTGTGTATAGAATAGATTCAAATAAGTTAAAATCATTTGTAGTTTAATAACTTGACACTTATGTGGTGAAAGTGTGTGCCGTTATTGTCCCCCCTAACCATGAATTACCTCACATGTAGCGCTACATCCAGGAAGCTCGTCTGAAGGCCCTGCGTCAGCCCAAGCTGTCTGACATGTCGGCCCAGGGAATGGTGCAGACCAACTGGAAGTTCGTGGAGACGCTGCTCAAGGAATGTAAGACAAAGGTGAGACAATGAGTACATCTGTCTGACACTGGTGCCTCCTGCCTACCTCATGCAGATCATTCACATGTTTTGTTGGAAAAATATGATTGGATTCTGATACCTAGGCTTCAAATACTGATGAATTTGTTTACATTAAAACATGGATATTACAAACGATATTCCCTCGGAAATGTCTACCGTCTTTGATAAAACAGGACACAATAATTGCAGTATTGACTTTTATGTTTTATGTTTAATGTTATTTTACAGACAAGATTAGGTCATTTAGAGGTAAGATTAACATAAAGGAAGTTTAATAAGATTGAATCATTACTGTTGATTGTGTTGATTTGCCTTTCATTGAGTGTAGCCAATGTCAGTGACACTAATTGACACCGTCAGATTTCTTAGGTCGCTCTACACGTCATTAAGTTAGTGGTATTTAGGGTTGTCAGGGATCAAATATCAGTTCTCTGGATACATTAATTAGCTGTAGATATTTTGTTATATACGTACATTACTTGTGATGATACATGGGAGATAAATCGGTAATTTTGTAACAGTTTCTTGTATCCGTTGGTTCACTCAATCCATGTTCGTTCTACCTGCGTTCTATTGTATTTTACTTTATTTAATTCAAGGTTTGTTATTTGACAGTCCACTATAATCATTATCTTCCATGGTCAAATTTTATATGAAGGCCAAGGAATTGTTTTGGACTCAACACCAGACAACTGGGAAAATCAAGTTATTGGAACTAACATTTTGTAAAACATCTCAACTTCCAGGATACATTTTGCAATCAATTAATCTTGTAAATTTCCAATCAGAATGCCCATCTATTATAGCTGTGACAGTAAATGTAGAGTTAAGTTATAACTTTCCTACTTTCAAAGAACTGATTATAAAAATTGAAAATATAGCAAATAATCAGAGCTCTCCTAGCATACTTTAGAATCATATTGATTGACTTGTCTGTACATCACTGTATCTCTGTATTGCCAGACAAAGAAGATGCTGGTTGAAAAGATGGGTCAGGAGGCAGTGGAGTTGGGGCATGGAGAGTTGAGCATCACAGGGGTGGAGGAGAACACTTTGATAGCCAGTCTGTGTGATCTCCTGGAGAGGATATGGAGTCATGGTCTGCAGACAAAGAAGGTGAGTGACTTAGTCCAAAAATGTGAGCATTTGTATGATCTCGTAGAGAAGATCTACTTTCTTCGTCTGTGAAGGCGAGTGATTTACTCCTATTATTGGAGAATCTTTGATACCCTGTCTGTGTGATCTCCTGGGAAGGATGTGGAGAAATTGTCTGCAGGCGAAGAAGGTGAGTGACTTAGTCCAATAATGTGAGCATTTGTATGATCTCGTAGAGAAGATCTACTGTCTTCGTCTGTGAAGGCAAGTGATTTACTCCTATCATTTGAGAATCTTTGATACCCTGTCTGTATGATCTCCTGGGATACTATAGTATCTTTGGTAGCCAGTCTGTGATTGACTTACACTGAGAGTTGAGCAATATGAACTGTGTTGTGTTGCAGGGGAAATCTGCGCTGTGGTCCCACCTTCTGAGTTTCCAGGAGATTGAGGAGAGCAACGACACAAACCGAGCCATCGACCCCAAGCTATTGACACCAGGTCAGTACACACGATGTGCCCATAACCACAGAGGTTCAGGGACATTCTGCACTTTCACCTGTCACAAAACTGACTCAAGAGTCCCTACCTGGCCCAGCATTGCCACCATGTAGTACACAGGTAGTGCTGAAGGCCACATGCTTTGGGTATAAATACAAAAGTTTGTCCTGTTGGAATGTTAAAAGATGGTAGGTGCCAAAATATGAACAAATCAACACCTTGTTTGAGTACATTGAAACAGAAGAATAGGTTGGAAACTAACTGAAACATATGGACAGTGGTCCTTTGAGAACTGATACATGGAAATCTTGCTAAGTGACTTATCTTGTGTCTGATATGCCAGTAACAGTATAGTGGACTTAACCATTTTGTCAGCGTTTGCGTAATGTTGCAATATATACAATATCTGTGTAGTGGTCTTGGTAAATGCATTGAAGGAAATAGGCTTTCTGAATGAAATGGATGGTAATATTGTCCAGTTGCCTACAAGTCATATTGTGTATACTCGGTATATACCTGAGGATAGTCAGTGTTTGTGAATGGTAAATAATTTAGTATTAGCAACCCTGTGATATAATGCCTGTTTATGCCATGTGTTATGACTTGTATCAGATGTTGCACCGGTCGCTCCATATCACCTGTGTATAATCTGTTGTGGTCAGTAAGTACTACTGTATATGAATCCTGATTGTCACAGTGACTTCTCAACTACAGATTGGCAACTCCTTGCTTAAACCTCACTAATATCTCTCTCCCCAAAAGGTCCCTTGAAAAGACATAGCCTGATAGACATTAGCTCTTTCTTGGATGGGTCCATCAAAATTTTGGGCCGGTCCATATCCTGGAGCAGTGAGTATCTACTGGTGTAATTACCCTCCACCCCTTGGCTAGTGCATGGGGTGACTCCTATATACCACTGCAGTGCAGCACTGTGGGCTGGACCACACACACACAGAGGGGTGGAGGCAGGGGCTAGGTTGGTAGCATGGACAGGTTTCTAAGAAAAGGCTGGTATGAATACTAAATATGGAAGATGCAAGTCTTCGGGATTTGGTTAAAGGTGCAATAACTAAACATCTTGGTACCACGTTCCAGTACTTTCTAATGTGCCTGTTGATCACCGATGCTATATGAGGCTGTATTTTCAGCTGTATGATTCTCTATACCTGTCCTTCCATCCTGGTCCCTGTCTGTCTGTCTGTCTATGTCTGTGTGATGTTCCAGATATAACAGTCTCCTGAGTGCTGGTCAGTTTATTGGTCAGTCTTGTCCTTGCCTTCACTGTACTAACATCATTATGATTTCATCATCACCATCATGACTGTGACACGCAGAATAACTAGTGAACCAGTTCGGAATCCATTATGGGTGGGAAGCATAAAGAAATGGTCCCCTTATGATCATATACCGTATTTGACGTAATAAGCTCCCAGGGCGCTCTCAAAATTAGAAATAGGGTGCTCTTATTAGAATATTATTTTGGTGTAAAAAACAGAGTTGAAAGATAAATTTCGTGGTTTATGCTGACAGCCTGAAATGTTTATATACGACAGATATATTTTTCCTGAATTTAATTGACCATAATTGAGGGTGCATATTACACACGAGTGGGTATCATACACGAATAAACGATAAATAGGTCTTGTGTACATTGATCAATCGGTAGGGGTGCTAATTGGGATTGTTCACTAGCCAATATATTAGCAAATATCGCCGTGGGCGCTTATTAGAGCGGGGTGCTTATTACGTCGAATAAGGTAGTTTTCTCTACTGGGAGGATTGCAAACAGGATATAGTGTAAGTTCAGTATAGTTAAACCATGGACCCCAGGGTGATACAAAGCAGTCTAAGTACCAAGCTAATCGTAACTCTCATACCTTAACGTAGACTTACGACAGCCGTATAAGGCTGTTTTGTCACCTAGGTCAGTCAAAGTAGAGTAATACCTTATGTTGAATTGAGATATTTTCGTATTATTATCTTGACATTGCTCCAGATAATCTGTGTATCTGCATAAAAATATTCACATAAAAATCACCGTAACCCTGTTAATTTCAAGTTGCTTGAGTACAGATATGTATGAATTTAAAAAAACACATATTAATTATAATATAACAACATGTAAACAACACTGTAATTACTTTTACTGCTTGTGCACATGCATTTCCTGAACTGAGCGAAGACAAGAGTCACATATATGTATTCTAAATGACTGCTATGTCTCCATTATTGCAGAGGGGCACGGGTGGCCCAGTCGTCTAAGGCACCGCGATTCGCTGTGCAGAGTTGCGTCCCTTGGGCATGCCAGAAACCTATGATTGTGGGTTCGAATCCTGGTTCGCCCTGATTATGTTTCTAGGTTTGTCAGCACCATACCCGTGCTCGTAAACGTCTGAGACCTGCATCACTTCGGGCTTTCCTCCCACATTAAGCTGACACGCCGTGATATAACTGGAATACTGTTAAAAGCGGCGTTAAACACAACTCACTCACTCACTCACCATTATTGCAACTTACAGATGTATCACTGTTGTAAGCTTATGCAGCACATAATGGCTACCATTAACTGATGCAATGCAGAAGTCACCTGAAACAGTTACTATTTATGCAGAATTATTTTTAAAAACCTTTTCTCATTTGTTAAAAATACCCAATAGACTGGACTCCTATTGGTTTAAAATAAATTGAATACTACAGGAAAATACAAGTACCCAATGATAATCATTACGTGGGAGTTAATTACATGTGACTCAAAAATTATCTGGAGCACTGTCAGGAGCTGAGTGTTTTGTGGATTGTACAATTAGGCAACATCTAAAATGGGAACATCTAATTTGGTGTAAATTGTTAAGGATTCAAAATAGACCACATCCCATGTTACATTCATTCATAAATAGTTATTTGGTATATTAAGACCCATATCTCACAGCAGATGAAATGTACGCAAAAATAACACATCTCCTTTCTCAATATATATACTGTACAAAAGAAAGTTAAGAATATTTTGGGGATATGTTTTTGTTTGGAAGGCTCCGCACACAATTTCATAAAAATATCCCCAACAATATTTGTGATCCCTTACTATTTTTTGTTCAGTATATATCTGTCTGCTGTTATGTATCCAGCATCAAGTGTTCCGTGATGTAGCTGACTCTAATCTCTATCATTGTGTGTGTGTGCCTCACTCCGCCAGATCGGTGAGAAAGCTTGCTAGTCAGTATCTGTCATCTCTCCTGTACAGAAGTGTTTGAACTGTTCACCAGTCCCAGAAGGGTACATTGTCACCAGGATTTGAGTTTATGATCATTCAACCCTAGCTTAGTTCGGACAGTGTTATATCACTGAATAGTGTTTAGAGAAATAGTTGTAGAAAGAGTTCTAGGGCATCTCTAGATTTAGGGCTCACAGGCAGGCGAGGATAGTTTGTACTGTTAGTTTGATAATTCTTAGCCTGGAAGAGAATTGAAATTTTGATGATAGATACTAACTTTTATATGTATTCCATTACTAAGTTTGATGAACATTGTCTCTAAACATGTATGTCAATTTGCCCTTAACAAAATGTTTGTTTTGTACAATAACACCTGTCTAACAAATAACATCTATGTCATTGACCACTGTCAGATGTATGTTGGAGGTCAGATTTATCTGCGTGTGGAATAGTTTTGTGTATCAGACCAAGGAACTATCAATATTCATCACTTTTTGACATGTTTGATAGGCATGTATAGGGCCGAGTGCCCATTAGTGCCCTTATAGTGGATATGAGATTCACCCTGATAATATTACTAGGTATGTCAGCACCTTACTCAAGCGTGTGGGTTTGACTGATGTAATCATTATGCCTACATCACTTCGGACTTTCCTCCCAAATCACACTGACACACTGTGGTATAACTGAAATACTGTTCAAAGCGGACCGCCTCCGTGGTCTAATGGTAGAACGTCCGCCCGGAGAGCGGAAGGTCCGGGGTTCGATCCCCAGCCGCGTCATACCAAAAGATGTTAAAAGATGGTACTTGTTGTTACCCTGTCTGGCGCTCGGCATTAAGGGGCTAAAACAAGGACTGGTCGGCTCGGAGTCAGTATACTGTATCTGAGTTGGGTATACATGTTAAACTGCGGCATGGTATCTCAGTGTGCTAGCACTATAAATCGGCATCAATCCGGACTAGTACAAGCAGCCACACAAACACACACACGTACATGCACGTCGCTATATAAGTGCAATAATCTTGGATGCGACGTTAAACCACATTTCACCTCACCTGTTCAAAGCGGCGTTGAACCCAACTCTCTCTCTCACTAATAGTTATGTGCAACTTCAGTGGATTATGACTTCTTACTGTGAGGTTACAGCTTGATCACTGTGGACTGTACAATCATGAAGTTACAGTCCATGGACACCCATACTCTGTTTATCAGATTTTGAGAGGAGTAATGATATGGTCATGAGGTCCCCTGTATCATGAACATCTAACAAGGTTGACAGTGAAACTCTAATGATTTGGTGACAGCAGATAGGCATGGTTCCCCTCCACTAACATGACTCCCCTGGTGGAAGTGTGTAACATACCTGGCCTGTCTTACCAAGGTTGTCCTCCATGCTGGTGGAAGTCTGTGTCTGTGTGTCCAATGGAGTCTCAGGATTGTGCTCAACTCATGTCCAACATGCTGAAGCATGCTGTAACCTGTCTTATTGCTTTAATGTTATGTTGGAAGATTATGATCATAGCTGATTTTTCATCATGTTCATATTCACATTTTTCAGAAAATATATAATGTAATCAAAGTCTAAACTTTACAGCTGACAGGGTCATATAACACTCACTTAAGCATTTATTGAGTAGTAGTCAGACCAACTGTAAGTTATGGCCCTAAGAGGTACAGTTGATAGGGGTTAAACATCTGTTCATGTTGTTCGGTGCAATGGTAAGACAGTGTTAACAGTTGTTGAACCAGATTACTGGATATGTAATATTTTGAAGGTGGGTATGTTCTTGTCAAATGGATGAAAGTTTTTGTATTCTGGCTAAGACTTTTAAGAAATCAGCAATTTCATTAAAAAGGAAAATATTTTGGATTGAACTTGTTGAATATAGTTGTAGAATGAATTTCCATGTATCTGGATGTGGTTGAATCGAGAGGGGCATATGCCCTGGTGACCTCATAGGAAGGGTCGATTTCTTGTTACCACCATTATGATACCTGACTACGGTACCGCTAACCAACCCCCTCCGTGCTGGCCAGGAGAGCCAGGATACAGGGTATTGTAGGGAGCTGGACATCCTGTGTTGACACTCTCATATGAATGATGGTTTGTTATTTCACGCTGCTCAGCCATCGCATGGTGCATTCTACAAAAGAGATATCAACGTAAGCCTGTGTGTGTTTGTCCATCACAGTGTAGCCTTCACCTACCACCAGCAGCAGTCTGTTCAGATCTGCAGAGTCAGCTGTTCTGTTCCACTGTGACACCTTTAGCTAGCTAGCAACCATGGCCCTGTTCCACAAAGCGGTCTTAGGGCTAAACATATACTGGGCCAAAGTCTCAGGGTCTCGGTCCTCAAAGCAATATTTGCACTGTAACTTGTTTAATTAATGTGTGGGAGTTATAAACTAAGATTGCTTTGCGGAAAAGGGCCTAGGAGTTGCGGTCTCGACGCTAAGACCACTTTGTGGAACGAGACCCGTACCTGAGTTGTATCACGTTTTACTGTGCCAGTCACAGTTTGTCGCAGCTTAGCCAAGTAGCTCAGATCACCTGATGTATTTAGTTCAACATTGACTTTAGTTCAGTTTGTTTGCATGTTGAGATTATTGCAGACAGCATATGATGACAAACGCAAACCACCATTCTGTTAGCTTGTCACTCTAGACCTTGATTCATTGTTAGCTTCAGTTTGTTTTCTTCAGCATGATGTATGTCAGTCATGAATCGTGTATTTTGAAGACTCACCATCAGAAGCTGTTATTCCTAAGAGTGTATGGATCTTAATATCTTCATATGAAGCTGACATATTTTTAGCAAATCTTTTAACAAAGTAATTAACATAAGACTGATCCAAAATGATGACACATACAAGAAATTGTGACAACACTTTTTAAAAGTGAATATTACCATATGATGTAATTCAGTAAGTGGTTTGATATGAATAATGATAATCGATTATTTTAACCAAAATTCAAATTTAGGCTTTGTATAAAGCATATGTGCTGACCGAATGTTGTGTGAACCTACAACACCCTACCCTGCACAACCCTCTAGTTGTACCCTTCCTAACATGACCCTGTGTCTGTAGACCTGTCCGCTATGGCCTTGGATGGAGAGAAGACACACCCTGTCAAGACACATCGACGTCGCAGCAGCCAGGGACGGATTGAGCTGCCTGTCCTCCGACCTCTGGCAAAGTCACTGGCACATGATATGAGGTCAGTACAATACATAAATCTGGTAACTGGCACAAGGTCAGTGTGAAAGGTATGTATCTAGTCTTGTAAATGTCAGTTTGACAAGTAAACATGTCATGATAGTCTATGTATTTGTGTACCTGTCTCTACGATGGCCCAGTCGGTACATGTGAAGCTAAGTTTGTGTGTTGTGCGTGGCAGGAGAGTGCAGCAGATGACGGAGATCAAGACACACGTGGGATGTGCTCGAGCCTTTGTCAGACTTGCCCTAGAGAAGAAGATGTTGTCGACGCACCTCAAGGAGCTCCTGCAGGACACAGACCTACTCAGGTTGGTCAAACAATGATCTGATAGCTGCCATCTGGGTGCATGGGGTGTCCAGGTTGGGATAGGTTCCTGTAACTGTTCAAGTAAATCGAGACCCGTGAAGATTCCAGGGTAGAATAGGTCTTCAGCAACCCATACTTGCTCTGAAAGGCGACTATGCTTGTCGTAACAGGCGACTAATGGGATCAGGTGGTCAGGCTCGCTGACTTGGTTAATACATGTCATCGATCCCAATTGCGTGGATCGATGCTCATGATGTCAATCACTGGATTGTCTGGTCCAGACTCGATTATTTACAGACCTCCGTCATATAGCTGGAATATTGCTGAGTGCGGCGTTAAACAACAAACAAACAAACAAACAAGAACGAGATATTGTTCCAGTATTGTAAGACATTCTTCTTGTGTGGAGAAGCATTGTACCAGTAGTGAGATACATTGTTCCATTAATATGAAACTGTTCCAGTATTGTGAGACAGTGCCAGGCTTGTAAAACTTTTCCAGTGTGGTTAAGCATTGTGCAGCTATTGAGAGACATTGTTAGACATTGTGGCAGTATTGTAAGTCAGTATTGTGAGACAATTTACCACTATTGTGAGACAGTGCCAGTATTATGGAACTATTCCAGCATGGTAAAACATTGTGCCAGTATTGTGAAACTGGTACAGTATTGTGAGACATTGTGTTAGTGCTGTGAAACATTGTGTCAGTACTGTGAGATATTGTTCCATTATTGTGAAACTGGTACAGTATTGTGAGATATTGTTCCAGTACTGTGAGACATTGTGTCAGTATGGTGAGATATTGCTCCAGTATTGTGAGATATTGCTCCAGCACTGAGAGATAATGCTCCAGTATTGTGAGATATTGCTCCAGCACTGTGAGATAATGCTCCAGTATTGCTAGATATTGCTCCAGTATTGTGAGACACTGTGTCAGTACTGAGAGATATTGTTCCAGTATTGTGAAACTGGTACAGTATTGTGAGACATTTCATCAGTACTGTGAGACATTGTGTCAGTACTGTGAGATATTGCTCCAGTACTGTGAGATACTGTGAAATAGTGCTCTGATATTAAAGTTCATTGTTTGTGTTACAGGAGCCTTTACAAGCGCTACGCCTTCCTGCGGTGTGAGGATGAGAGAGAGCAGTTCCTGTACCACCTCCTGTCTCTCAATGCTGTCGACTTCTTCTGCTTCACCAATACATTCTCACAGACAGGTCAGTAGACAGTTTGCATTCTCAGATATATATTGAATATTGCTAAAAGCAGCGTAAAACCATACTCACTCACTCACTCATTGGTCAGAATAGATCCCCAGTACTGTGTACTTGTTAGATCTGAGAATTTAAGAGCTGCTAATGACCTGAAGAAACAAGAACATGTGTGTCTACTGCCATCTCTGTGATTATGTGAGAATGTGTCCACTAACCTGTTCATGGGAGCCTTGTGCGAATGGTGTCTTGATAGGCTCATAGTAAAATTGTACAATAGAGATCTCACAGACAGCCAGTACATTTAATCTCATTCTCAAATCAGATCCATTGACAGGGTTAGAAATTGGCACTACTCCTTGCCAAACTGCCCAATAGTAAAGGTATCCTAAGGACTAGTAGAAATTAGCCATTTTTAAAGGTTTTGCTATATGTTATCATCATAAGGACTAGTGGACTAAAACTGTTAGTTTCTACCCCTGATATTTAATAACATTCTCACTGATATGTCAGTAGACACGGTCATTTGTAACAGACACACCAGTAGACACATCACTCATCTCAGCTTGCACATCGCTATATAAGTGCAATAATCTTGGACACGACGTTAAACCCTATTTCACCTCACCTCATCTCAGCTTGATCGTAGACAGGTGTAGGAGATGCCTGATGAATGATGATTTTCCTCCTAGTTGTGCCATACCGAGTCCTGATCTACCCCAGCACCAAGTTTGCATGTGGAACAACGAGTGCTGTACCCTGGATCAGCATCGCGGGGCAACTCGGGGAGACTGGAGTCATGGACATACCGAAAGGATGTCTAGAGTTCTCAGTGGAAGTATGTGTCCCCCTTATGTCAGTTTTTGATGATGAATATATGTTCTGTTTGTATCTTTGGTATCCAGTTCCTTCGTATTTAAGTGTGACTACTTTGTGTGATTTTATATAAAAGCTGTGCAAAGGTGATGAAATTATTGACGAGATCAGTTTAGATGACTGCAGTCTTCATGTCATTCCACCTGTTCCAGCACAAGAACCTGGGTGTTCTGACGACTCTACGTATCGGCCATGACAACAGTGGCATGACTCCACGCTGGTTGGTGGAGTACGTGCTTGTCAGGAATGAGATCTCAGGACACACTTACAGGTGGGTGGAAGACACTACACAGATATGATATGTATGAACTTTGAGCCAATACCTGGCTATATGCAGCACTTTTCTAACCCTTTTTCCGTAATATTACAATTTATCCATTTTGCAGACTGGTATATATATCCTGCTAAATCTTACACCTGGATGTTGTGTTGCAGATTCCAGTGTGGGCGATGGCTGGGGAAAGGTGTGGATGACGGCAGCATAGAGCGCCTCCTGGTGGCAGAGCTTGTACATCAGACATCAGAGGTTGATGGTGAGCTCTAGATTCAGTGGCAGGATGGTCAGCTAGTGTATACAGTGTGATTAGTCATGAACGAGTGTATGATAGCATCTGTTGTCTTCTGTGGTTGTCTGTAGTGTGTTTTTGCATATTTCAACTATACATTGCAGACACAGTCACATGCTACACACCTCCACGGAACAGGTCGCCCAGCTCTCCCAGGAAGAACTGTGATCAGGGTAGGTTTAGACTGAGTAAATGAAATATAATAAAATGTTCAAATTAAGCATTTTTTAAATCAAACAGCAGTTGTGCTTATTGTTTTGTAGTTTTCTAATGTAGAGTAGGCATTCATAAAACAAGAAATTACTAGGCTTGCCTAATCACTAACTGATACGATGATTGAATGAAAGTGTCCAGAGTTGATATATCCAATAAGTCATTTTCATTTACAATTTGATATCCCCTCGGCTACCCCTTGTCACAGGTCTGTCCATCCCGGAGCTGCAGGAGAATCTAGGGCATGCAGTCAACAACTTGGTCAAGTACTTCTACAAGCCAGAGAAGGAGGTCAGTGTGCATGTCAGACTGGTACCTCGGTCCTTTTCTACTCTACTCTAGCTTACATTGCCTTTACTTTTGTCTCTCCGTTGGCAATACTAGGACAGAATAGATACTCCATGCTCCTTACATGTTTCAAGAGTTTGCTTGTGTGTTGTTTAACGCCAGTCTCGGCCAGTGTTACATCTATATAATGGTGGCCTGTAAATAATCAAATCTGATTGACATCACGAGCAACAATCTACCCCTGACCACTCAGTCAATCCAGTTTCCTCTTACAGCAAGCTTAGCTTGCCAGGGACCAATTCTAGCCCGGCATCCCCACAGTTACTATCTGGGGATGGGTCGAAATATCGATATATTGCTATTGGTAAGCACTTAAAGTCAATAAATCGATTGTTAAATCAGTTTCCGATCAATAGTATCGATTTCAGTTAGGAATATCGATAGTTTTGTATTTACCATATCAATAAAATACATGCAATGCTGTTCAAATTTGTTTTTTTCTTTTGATCATGAGTGGTAGAAATTTACACATGGTAATGTGAAAGTTTCTTTTTCTTAAATTATTAGGGTAAAGGAAAAACAAATCAGTCATATCTCAAACTTTATTTTTATTTGTTGTTATGGTTTTAACATTCAAAGGAAACTTCAGTTCCAAGGTTTAATTCAACTCTAAAATCCATCTAAAAACACTGAAAACTATCAATATTTATCGCAATAGTTTCTTTCAATATCAATAGTTATCGCAATAGTTTCTTTCAATATCAATAGTTATCGCAATAGTGATTTCCAGACCAATAGTCACCCCTGGTGGATCACATACAGTTTAACAACCATTCAGTCACTTATCCTCTGTAATCTACTGCGTCCCTGTTCCATATAGGAGACTTTGTACCTGTTACACTCTTTGTTCATGTACTTGACTGTTAAGGTTATAGGATTTACTGATGCCTTCCCACCATTATAGATTTTATTGACCCAGTATTCAATGCATCATTGTTTACAGAGAGGCAACCTGACCTTCCTACTGTGTGGAGACCGGGGCCTAGTCCAGTGCATGGAGCAGATTTTCCAGTGTGGCTTCCGCTCATCTAGATTGTTCCGTAACAAGATGTTTATATGGGATCTCTTTGGTAAGCTACTTGAGGTCTTATATCTGGTAACATGAACTGTCTTATGTTTCCTCTTTATACCTTTATACTAGCATAAGAAGTTGCTTCCAAACGGGGGCACGGGTGGCCCAGTCGTCTAAGGCGCCGCGATTCGCTGTGCAGAGTTGCGTCCCTTGAACACGCCAGAAACCTATGATTGTGGGTTCGAATCCCGGTTCGCCCCGATTGTTTCTAGGTTTGTCAGCACCATACCCGTGCTCGTGGGTTTTACCAAAGTGGTAAACGTCTGAGACCTGCATCACTTCGGGCTTTCCTCCCACATTAAGCTGACACGCCGTGATATAACTGGAATACTGTTAAAAGCGGTGTTAACCCAACTCACTCACTCACTCCTTCCAAACAGGTCAGAGTAAATATATGGTTTGTTTGTCATGTTTATTGTAGACCTCAGCCATCATGGCTATACGAGCAAGTCGTAATAATCTTTGAGTTGTGAGTTATTGGATATGATGTCTACTAATGAGGATTTAGTTGACAATTGAAAGCCCTGTTCTTACAGAGAAGATAAAGGTACAGTTTGAGCATGCGCTGGCTGGTGGAGTGCGCCGGCCGATAGCGGAGGTGGCAAAGGCAGGGTACTGGCTCTTCTGTAATCTTCTCAACAAGATCAATGCAGCCACTGAGACCATTGGCAAAGACGGGAAGTTCCAGATCTTCATCTGTGTGGGCATTAGGTATGGTTGAGTGATGGATTCGACGGTTGATCTCATGTAGTCATAGTTAAAATCCCAATCGGACATTTGCATTTAGGCCACGCCCCCTTCAAATAGCGTATTTAAGTACGACTTTTCACACACATTACAAGTTTACGTATTCATAATATGATGAATTATGAATTGTTTCAATTTAAATTGTTTAATTCACCGGACAATTAATAACAAATAATATCATTTTAGATTTACATGGAAAACATACGTTTGTTTCTGTTATAATAACGATCTGTTAACGTAGTGAACGGTCTAATTAATATTCATGAGTTATATTCATGAGTCTGCTCAAGTGTACGCGTTGTAACATTTGGATCGAGACTGTTATCCCATATTTGGTTATCACGTGACCTCACGGGAATTTTTTTTTTTTAAACTAAAGATTTTTTTAAAAGCAAGACAGATAATTTAATCACAAATACTAAAATATCGTTGATAGCAAAAGTTATTTGAATACTTATTTATTGACCATAAAAAAATTGGATATCGATCGTCCGAGAAAGCAAAATGGCGGTCAATCAAGATTCAATATACGACTAGCTACTGAAAACAATAAAGTCTGCAAATCCTCATTGTATGTCAACCAAGTGAAAGTCGTTAGCCACGACTTACAAAATGATCGTCCAGACTTTGAGGGTTTGGCAGATCCGCTCGACTGATCTGCATCGGTCGACTGGCTGTCGTCACGCTTTCGCTTCTTGTCTGAGGTTACGTATCGTAGCATCGATGATGCAAGGTATTAATGTACAGTTGTAAACACCTTTCACTCAAATTAACAAGATGTTCTCAGTAATTAATCCTCGATTAATCAGTGTCAACTCAGTTTATTGCCTATTACAGTGATTCACCGATTTGACTATCATGTAGGTACGATGTATTTACAGCAATCAAAACAAACAAAGCTTGTCAGTGTAGTTAATCTTCATTGTGTTGCACTGCAGACAGAAACTGCTCAGTCCTAACTGTTGATCATGTCCGGTCAAAATTTAAGAATGTCCGGACAATACTTTTTAAAATGTCCGGTAAGCAATATTTTAAAACGGACATTTGAGATTCCCAATCGGACATGTCCGGCGCATATGACGGTTTCCGGACCCCTGGTTAGAAGGTAGAATTTAATACCAACTTGAGTTCCTTTTGAATATCAGGTCAATTTATTTTTAGGTAAATAGAGGTTATCACGCGAGTGTGTTTGGGGATGGTAAATATCCTGCATTAGGAATAAACATTGTATTTAGCGAGCCTTGGCGAGCTAAATACATAGTGTTTATTCCTAATACAGGATATTTACCATCCTCAAACACACAAGCGTGATAACCTCTTTATCATATAATGTCATGCTTTAATTCTGTGCTTTAAAATCGCTTTCCCTCTCTCGCAAACATTACCAAAACATTGCGAGTTTTCCTGGAATGCGCGCATTAATATTTATTACGTCACAGGGTAAGTGATGTGTCAGTCGGACAGTGACAGTAGCCAATATAGTTCCAACTGAAATCTGTTTCTTATACAGTGGCGAAGCAACATATACGCAAAACAACAGTTGTTTTTAATTGCCTTTCGCGGCAATCCATCGGTCTGTCCGCTAGAGTAACTGCCCTTTGTCAAAGGGAAGCTACTCTAACCCTAGTCTATGAGACGTCACGGGCACGGTCAGACGTTGTTGACAGTCGGTCTGTCCTGTCATAACGTTAAGAAGTGTAGTCAGATGTACACACAGCGACAAAACCAAACAAGGTAACAATTCAAACATATTTCGGCTAAATCCAACTATTTTAATTTGTGGAGAAGGTTTCAAGTCGCAGAGGTCTACAAGCACAGATATTGCTACTGATCCCGCTTGGCTAGGCCTCGCGCCCTCGCAAAATTGTTTCGAAATTTATACCTCCAAAGTAGCCAAAACTTATAAAATGCCTTAGCTACGTCACAGTTAGACACTGATTTTCAGTATATTAGACTGTTCTTTTGATAGTGATAGCAATTATCCCTGTTGCTTATCCAGATTCCCGATGGTTAATTCTGACTCGATCGCCGAATGACGAGGACGACGCCATGTTTGTTTATAAACAGTGAAAGTAGTCCTACTTGACCTTTGATATTTGCATCTCTATCCGCATATGACCCCAACGGATATCGTTTTTATCCGTTGGCTTTATCCTGCCGAGAAACCTGCCCATTATATGATAAAGTTGAATATGTGAAAACAATTAATAAAATATTGCATTTCTTTTTCTGCCCTGTGTGAGGGTACATAGCAATAAGCAAACAGGAAGATATTAATGTGGCTGTCTAATATAAATTGATTCCTCAGAACAGATCTTACAAGCATCTGTACATTTGAATTTGACACATGCAAGAACTCCCAAGGACGAGTTTGCAAGAAGGGCATTGCAATAGGGCTGGGAAGGGTAACTTGAGTACTCGGGTCAGGTGGGTACTGAGGACCCGGGTACCCACAGAACTACCCAGACCCGTGGTTGGTCATGTCATATATATTCTGACTATGCACCCAGACGTTTATATGATTGAATAAAGATAAAACTTCAGTCAACTTCAGTGTATGTAAGACCAGATCGTTTTATACGTGTATCTAAATACAATTTGTCCAGGGCTACAGTCAAACTATGCCCAATCGGACATTTTGCACCTATCTCTTGAGACCTACAGCGGGTTAGTAAAACACTTTTAGACATGAAACTCTATCACCAGAGCCCCCTGGTCCTCAGATATTTGTGTCATGGTAGCAAGCACTAAGAGACTGCCAGTACAAACAGAGTGGCAGTGATGTCCAATTATCCCTAACCTTGGTTGTGTATCTGTTGCAGAGATCACTGTCTTCACCGCTGGCTCCCTCTCATGGCTCAGACCAACATGGTAGCACAGATGTATGAGGAGAACTGCTTCATGCGTGACCCCAGTCTCATCAACTTCCTCGTCCACATCTTGGACACTCTCAGTGAGTTTCCCATTGTGTTGGAAGCCTCCTTACTGCGGGGACTGGACATCTGAAGAGGCTCCTTGTACCGTGTTGCCGTCACTACAGATGATGCAGACAAGCAGGGCCATGTTATCGGGAGTCTGTTGGTGTGGGCTGTGATATATCGATGTCTGTGAACATTTGTTGACATTGATGTGATGATGTGAGAGATCATGAATGTGATTTGGAGTGACTGATGTTTTGACCCAGTGACTGTAATTCCTTGTGATGTCTCTTGATGAGTGTCAGGACTGTATAATCCAAAAGCACCTGATCTAGTCTTGTACCTGCCACACAGACATGTGTGCGCAAGGGGCTTCAAGCATCTACTCCAAGTCATCAATATTACTATGTTGTTTTTGTGCCAAAGAATAGCGATCTTCAATTAATTATTTATTTGTGACTTGTGCAATTTTAGAATTAGATCACCCTACAAAGTACAAGGGTTGAGGTAGGAAAACAACATCCAAGAGATGTCACCAACTAGCATGAGGTCAGTCACTAGCAACAGTTCCTGGAGTAGGCTAGACTATCAAGACCCTGCCAGCTTCAGCATGAGGTCACTAGCAACAGTTTCTGGAGTAGGCTAGACTATCAAGACCCTGCCAGCTTCAGCATGGGGTCACTGGCAACAGTTTCTGGAGTAGGCTAGACTATCAAGAACCTGCCAGCTTCAGCATGATATTCTTACATGACATCACCAGTTTCATGAGTACAAGACATTGTCACCAACTTTGGAAAGAAAAGACAGCATGATGTCATGGTGGTGCATATGGTATGAGGTAGAGACTCAGATGGCAGGTCATGCTGTATGTTTAACCTGGAGAGTTGACTTGAATGTTTTAAAGTCATTTATTGAGCTCATGTGAATAACAAACTGAGGTATATTGAAATTGAAAATGTTATTTATGAACTTGTGGTCAAGGGTTGTCTAAACGCTCAAGATTGAAATTTGCACATTAGAAATTAATCATATAAAATATTTATTTTCTGTAAATTTTACCCTGATTAGTGAAAGTTGATTTGGCTTAATTTTAAACAGATGAAGTGCCTTGATTGTTCACTAATGGTTTGATGGTGGTTTGTTTTGTCATGTGAAGGTGACCTTACACTAGTGATAGCCATGCTAGCAGCAGGAGCACTGGGTGCCAGTGACTGTTGGTAACCATGGTCACTAGAACAGGACATCCACGTGTCTTGGGTTTTAACCTTGATCTCACTGATGCAGACATGTTTTATTCCACAAATCGTTGTTGATACATACCATGTGTATATGTTGTACAGATGAGAGTTTTAGAGAGAGCCATGTGATATGAGGTCAACACTTCTTATGTGTATACAATTTCTTAATATTGAAAGGTTTTATTTGCTATATTGAATTGTTATGAAGGCAGACTCAATGAAAGTTCATAGCTGTCTTTTGTGTAAACTAGTAAGCTGTCCTAAACTCTTCCACATTCTGGTTACCCTTCCATCTAAAGTCCCTCCCCAGCCTGTAAAGATGCCCTGCGGCTCCCCACCCTGGGTAGATTACCTTCCGACTACTGACCCTCCCCAATATGGGTAGATGTCCTTCCCACTACAACCCCTTTCCACCCTGGGTAGATTACCTTCCCACTATAGCCCTCCCCACCCTGGATATATGCCCCCACCCCCTACACTCCCTGCCCTCCCCACCCTCGGTAGATGTCCTTCCCACTACTGTCCCTCCCCATCCTGGGTATATGCCCCGCCCCCTACACTCCCCACCCTAATAAGATGTCCTTCCCAATTCTGGCTAGATGTCCACCCGACTACACTCCCTGCCCATCCCAGGTAATTGTCCTTCCCTCTACTGTCCCTCCCCACCCTGGGTATATGCCCCGCCCCCTACACTCCCTGCCCCTCCCCACCCTGGTTAGATGTCCTTCCCACTACTGTCACTCCCCACCCTGGGTATATGCCCCGCCACCTACACTCCCCACCCTGATTAGATGTCCTTCTCACTTCTGTCCCTACCCATCCCTGGCTAGATGTCCTTCCCATTACAGCCCCACGCCACCCTGGGTAGATGTCCTTCCCACTTCAACCCCTTCCCACCTTGGGTAGATGTCCTTCCCCCTACACTCCCTGGCTCCCCCACCCTTGGTAGATATCCTTCCGATTACTGCCTCTCCCCACCCTGGGTAGATGACAGTCAGTGTCCTCCCTTCCTGTACAAATCCTTGGTAGGTAATTTACTCCAACCTTGAGGGCACAATCCCATATTGACTATGTATCAAGTCCCCTCCCCCTCTCTCAAGACATTGTTAAATTTTGTTGACATTTGTTTGTGTATATTATACTATTAGTGCTGTGCAATCTTGTCACTACTTAAAATAGCTGTTTCTCCATCTTCCATGTGTCTTCAGAAACAACCTCGTTATGAAGTCATGGAGGTGAAACAAATTCACTATCACCAGTAGATGTAGATAATGTCTGTATTTACTACTATTTAGGGTCTGCGCTGTAGGGTTAATAGCCCAGGTGCTACCGGCACCAAGCTGCAGCTGTACCTTGATGTACAGTGCTTACTTTACCTAGCTGTATCTAGCTTTCTGCCATTTTGTACCAGGCTTACCATACCCTATATAGATCTGTGTCTCAATGTAACCAAGAGCCAGCTATAAGAAACATACAAGTAGTTTTCCTGAACACTACCAAACAGTGAACCAAACCTTACAAGTGTAGAGTTTCCCTATAGGCAGTGCTAGTATTATCAGAAACAAAGCTGAGACCTATTGGCTTAGTTCAGTAATCCTTAACAGACATATCAGTTATATTGGGGTAGTTGTATGGACGTTATTCCCTTTGCCTTACTAGCAACTTGTTCTCCTCTGTTGATCTGATTGTTGCAATGTTACCATGGTTACCGAGTATTGCCTGGTATCAATGAGATTACCAATGTTTGTGTTATGAAAATCAAACATGTAACTACACCATGACTTTGTTATACGTTTTCTACAGATTTGATTACATCTTTGATTAGTTTATGCATGTTTATATCAGCAGCTTTGTATGTAGCTGGATATATGTGAATCTGACATTAATGAACAGTAATATATCAGCTTAGTTTATGATGAAAATGTCGGGGATTCATGATAAAGATGTAGCAGAGTAGCCTAACTCTTGAAAAAGATATTGTGGATAATCCTAGTACATGATAAAGATGGTGCAGAGTAGCCTAACTCTTGAAAAAGATATTGTGGATCATCCTAGTACATGATAAAGATGGTGCAGAGTAGCCTAACTCTTGAAAAAGATATTGTGGATCATCCTAGTACATGATAAAGATGTTGCGGATTTGCTCATCACGGCTAACAAGTCTATGACTGCATTATTTCATCATGTCATTTCATCAGACCATATGCTTGTGTGATGATTTTGTTCAGGGTACCAGGTTTTCAGATTAGACAAAACATGGGCAGACACAGACTCGACGTAAGTTCACAGGTACCCATGTTCAAGTCCCGTCTTAAGCATGTCAGAGACAAAAATGGCAACCAGCACATATTAAGATTCCACACAAGCCCCGTCCAAAGAGGTATCTCAAACATTAAGTAATTCTACAGACATTCATTCATAAGTATAGGTTACTCACTGTATGGTTTTAGTTTATGCTAGCTGCAGTAACAATATCTCTTTGCTGCTCCGATAAACGATTTTGATGCTGACCTGTAGCGTGGGCTGCTCCGATAAACGATTTTGATACTGGCCTGTAGTGTCATTTGCTCTGATAAATGATTTTGATGCTGACCTGTAGTGTGGGCTGCTCCGATAAACGATTTTGATACTGGCCTGTAGTGTCGTGTGCTCCGATAAACGATTTTGATGCTGACCTGTAGCGTGGGCTGCTCCGATAAATAATTTTGATACTCGCCTGTAGCATGGGCTGCTTTGATAAGAGATTTTGATACTGACCTGTAGCGACACAGAGCGACAAGTCAAAATCAAAATCGTTAATAGGGAGCAGCAAAGAGATCTGGTTACCGCAGCTATGCATGATATTAATAGAGCGTTACTGTTGTTTTAGTTGGATGTTTTACCTCATGTTCTGCATCATGCTGCAATCGTCATGTCACTGTCTGCCAGCTGCACTTTTATTTATTTGTGAGCCGAGATGTTATGTGAGTTATCCCCCTTGTACATACCCCGCCCCAGTGCCGACAGTGTATACATACATCAGCTCACGTGACACTATTGCTTGTCTCAGCCCATGCATCCTATTCTAGGTTCACATTGGTGAGAGCTCATTTCATTTGTGTTTCGATAATATCATTTGTGATGTCATTATTCCCTTGATTCTGTGTAAGTTGGTTGCCTGAATGTCACAGATGCAGCTCCTGTGATGTGTGACATGGAGGCTGTCAGCGGATGTTACTGTGCGATGTTGCAGCTCTCTCACGTACATACAGGCTCATCACTGTGTGAGCTGACTGTATTATGTAGAGATGGTTGGAGCGTGAGTGTGCGAGATCGGGAGTGGGTGTGTGAGATGATAGTATTACAGTGATAGTGCTGTCACTACTTGTTGAATAAACAATGTTGACATGGTAAACCTGAAGCTTGTTGTTTGTTAGAGTGGAGAAGAAGTAAATAACAGTCACCATTATTGCTTAAACAGTATGTCATGATCGCAATTCTTCACTTAAATATGATCTATATTTTCATCTACTGGCAGTGTTGTCATCCCCCTCTAATACATGGGAGGTGGATTAGGTTCTGGCTGTGCATCTGAGGAATTGTTTGTCCAGAAAGCGCGATGGATAAAAGAATGAAAGTGTGTATTACTATACCATATTTTCTTGAGTATAGTGCACACTTTTTTCCAAAAAAAACCCATAGCTGTGTAGAAGGCTTGTGCATTATACACACCATAGTTAGTTTTGATTGTTTTTTTCCCAAATGCAAAGACATTACCGTGTGCACGTAATTCCAGAAATACCATGTCAATAAATCCGTACTGGAGTACGCAAATTAATCATGTAATTACACTGTCTGGTTATAAAGTGTTCATGTATATCTGGACTTATGTTTGTAACTTATTTCATTAATTTTATTTAAGATACCTTTTGATATTGTTTTAATTAATTTCCGCGAAATCGTGTGTTCCGATCACACAACTTGCCATTTATTACATCATTACGGGGGTACATTATTTAGGGATAAATATGGCGAGGGAGTTCAAGAACAAGCATCAAAAATATATTTTTGACAGAGTTATAGCCATTGTTTGATCTTTTGGACATGGTGCAATGGATCCTCAATGGGGACAAGTTATTTTCTGAAACCTATTTTACAGAGTTCGGACATAGCGCACTATACCCCCAAATGGGAGACATTTAACCATGGTAGAGATGAGGAGGACATTTTGTATACATCTTTACAAACATAATCGGGGGGAACCAGGATTCGAACCCATAATCATAGGTTTCTGACGTGTCCAAGGGACACAACTCTGCACAGCGCCCTTAGACGACTGGGCCACCCGTGCCACCTACAAGATGGATGAATGTGGCAAAACAGCAACAGAAAGTAATGACACATGAAATCAGGTGTTGTATAACTGTTTATATCACACAAAACAAACAAGTGAGCAGAAAATGAGCACAAACCAGGGGTTTCCATGACAATTGACACACTACTATGATACAGCATAAGCAATGATACAAGTTATGGTAGAAAAGTATAAAATGAGTATATAATGTATGGAGTATTGTCACCATGATATATATTGACCATATCACACATCAGTCTATCCAATCAGCACCAGAGCAGATTAGGAGACGGTTAAGTTGATGATTACTGTGCAGTATTCTGCACTCATAAACCTTTCTGTATTAATCTTATCCCAGGTGCTATAGATCAAACTTTGAAGAGTAATACAAGGGTCGTGGTAGGTATACTGTTTAGAGCAAAACTAAAACCAAAAATTACTATCATAAAATTTATAAAACATTAAAATGAGGAAGCGAATTTATGGATGTCAACTTCTTTATAATGAGGAACACAATGTTTTGGAGTACATGCTTACTCCTTCATCAGGTGAAAAACTGTTGGCTTCCCTTGTTAGTTTCCACCCCTTATCATATTATTTTGTTGTCTTACAAGTACGTCTTTATGCTCTCTGCCTCATGGCATTCATTCACCTGATGAAGGAGTAAGCATGTACTCCGAAATGTTGTGTTCCTCATAATAAAGATGTTGACATTCATAAATTCTCTTCCTTATGTGTATCACTTCGAAATGCCTTTCAATGACTTGATATTAAGATGACTGAATTTTTATCATAAAAAATTAACGTAAAATGTCCATAAAACTTGCTTAGCCTTAATTAACACATTAATGTTTATCATAATCATGCTAAAATCTTGTAAAAGATATATAACTAGATCTAATGACGCAACAGAAGTCATCAGTGTTTGGTATTTGCAAAACATGAATTACAGTAAGGAAATGAATGACAGACTGACAATCCGCATTCGCATAGGGTAGATTTTTCATTTTAGACATTTTTCCAACTAAATATGATGCCGAAAACCGGATCACAAAGTTCTTAGTGACTGAGCCGTAAATATAATGACTGCCGACTAAAGGCCCTATAAGTTACTGACTACCCATCAGGACCCTCAATTACATGCTATCAAACAGGATTAAACCTACATACAGATGACATCCTTTTGTGAAGCTTTCATGAAAGCCTTTCTTGTAGTATTTAAGCCAGAACACTGATGATTCTTTTTCAATTTTTTTTTGTCAACCTGCCAAGAGGCCAAAGGCACAAAAATAATTAAAAATGGCATTAGTGTATTTCTTGCAAATACTTCTTCTATTCAAATGACTGTTTAAAAAGATGTTGAAAAAGGCTTTTTTTAATCAAGCTGAATTTTGAATCATTGTCACTTCTACTTTAGTGTTGAACTTTTAATTGTGGGCAGGCTTGTCCGTAAAACAAGAAAACAAGTTGGTATGGTGTTAATAATCATCCAGTGTTCAGTATGTCTGTACAGACCAGAGAGTACACTCAACCGAGAACTACCAGCACAAACATTGCATGTGGCTGTGTGGAGAGATCTGGTGTTCAGTATGTCTGTACAGACTAGAGAGTACGCTCAACCGAGAGCTTGCACAAACATTGCATGTGGCTCTGTGGAGAGATCTGGTGTTCAGTATGTCTGAACAGACCAGAGAGTCGGCTCAACCGAGAGCTGGCACAAACATTGCATGTGGCTGTGTGGAGAGAGCTGGTGTTCAGTATGTCACTACAGACCAGAGAGTACACTCAACCGAGAACTACCAGCACAAACATTGCATGTGGCTGTGTGGAGAGATCTGGTGTTCAGTATGTCTGTACAGACTAGAGAGTACGCTCAACCGAGAGCTTGCACAAACATTGCATGTGGCTCTGTGGAGAGATCTGGTGTTCAGTATGTCTGAACAGACCAGAGAGTCGGCTCAACCGAGAGCTGGCACAAACATTGCATGTGGCTGTGTGGAGAGAGCTGGTGTTCAGTATGTCAGTACAGACCAGAGAGTACACTCAACCGAGAACTACCAGCACAAACATTGCATGTGGCTGTGTGGAGAGATCTGGTGTTCAGTATGTCTGTACAGACTAGAGAGTACGCTCAACCGAGAGCTTGCACAAACATTGCATGTGGCTCTGTGGAGAGATCTGGTGTTCAGTATGTCTGAACAGACCAGAGAGTCGGCTCAACCGAGAGCTGGCACAAACATTGCATGTGGCTGTGTGGAGAGAGCTGGTGTTCAGTATGTCAGTACAGACCAGAGAGTCGGCTCAACCGAGAGCTGGCACAAACATTGCATGTGGCTGTGTGTAGAGAGCTGGTGTTCAGTATGTCAGTACAGACCAGAGAGTCGGCTCAACCCAGAGCTGGCACAAACATTGCATGTGGCTGTGTGGAGAGATCTGGTGTTCAGTATGTCAGTACAGACTAGAGAGTAGGCTCAACCGAGAGCTGGCACAAACATTGCATGTGGCTGTGTGGAGAGATCTGGTGTCATGTTGAAGACTTTGACCATACATTGGCAGGGGCAAGATAAGATATGCATTGTGTCAGGCCAGCAACAATGTATCCAACCACACGTTATCTCCAGACATACACTCGTGGACGGAACATGTGGTGAAGCTTACATTGACCTGCTGCCTCAGTCAAGATGAACGTACAAGATGACAACATGTTTAATGCTCAATATAAGATACCTACGCGAAAAGAGCAATGAAGAATGAAGCGTGATTTAATCCACGATAAAACATCGCTCTATCATGACGTCATTTTGGAAGATTCGAATTTGCACTCGCAAATTGATGACGTCATTTATTGGATGACGTTATTTTTGAGATGGAAGTATCAACGACTTGTTTCCCATAGATGTAGCTGGGGTACGCAGATAAATGCAGTGGCTGAATGATCACATGCAAAAGTGGGAAAGACATGACAAATGGTATTAGGAGAAAAGGTTCAGATAAACGATGTTAGGATTGTGAGAATATGCAGGAAATACCAAACTTAACCCACCTGTTCATAAAACGGACTTGTCTGACATTGCCAAGGTCAGATTCTGTTCAGGGAGTCATCGTCATTAAGGTCAAGGTCACTATTATTAAAGCTTGTACACTCGTGGTCGTCATTAATTGTAAATAAAAAACTGCAGGGAGAATAGTGTACGATAAACAACTCCCACTCGTCGTTTATTTCTTAAATAAAAGGTGAATACTCAGCAATATAACAGCTATATCATGACCTCCCACGTTTCAGCTTGGCACCCCACTGTAGAGCACCACCTGATACGTGTTCTCTGCCCTGGAACTTCCTGTGTTATGGAGTGAGTGAGTGAGTATGGTTTTACATTGCTTTTAGCAATATTCCAGCAATATCATGGCGGGGGAACAACAGAAATGGGCTTCACACATTGTACACATGTTGTGAATCAAATCTGGATCTTCGGCTTGACGAAAGAACGCTCTAACCTATACGCTACGCGACTGCCCCCCCCCCCCCCCCTACATATGTCCAATATGGCTAATGCCTGCAGATATTGGTGTCTTGAAGCTTGTGAAAGTAAAATGACTTCATGATGAAGATTCCAATAAGATACATACAACAAACTGTAAATCGTATAAAAAGTCTAATAAATCCTAACAGATTATTAAAAGTTATAAAATACAATAAAATATCTGTTATAATATTTTCCTGGCAGTGATGGTGACTACTGTTATCAAAACACAGGCAATCTCATTAAAATCAGATCTTAGTTCTCGTTATCGCTGAACAAAGATCTGAGGACATCCCATTACGGGTCACGTCAGAACGACCTTTTGCGAATTTTGACCGACCAATGAAATGACTGACAAGAAATCGACATTAGCCAATTAGAAGGCAGCTTTCTTGAGCTTTATGACACTAGCTTCAAAATGGCGACCACGCTTCGAAACATATTTTGACGTATTCTCGATTAAAAAATAAAAACTGATAAAAAGAACATTCTGGAATGGCTTATAGATTGCCCAGATTGTATGGATAGAATCATAAAACCCGTAACTGCCTTTCGGAATAACCCGTGTTAAATATTTTGTGGTTGCATGATTAGAAAACACATTCCAACTGTCACTTTCATGATCTGGTAAGCGACGCTGTGATTGGTTGGATGAAAGGTCGTTCTGACATGACCCTTAATGGGATGTCCTCAGATCTTTGTTTAGCGATAGCGAGAACTAAGATCTGATTTTAATGAGATGAAACCACAGGTAAACTGGCTCTTTACCATCTATGTATTCTATGGCGCTGTAAGGCGGAAAACATCTGTACGCACACAACATGACACAGTGACTAACTAAACAAGACTTGTACATCATGGCATGTACGTTATTGCACAGCTCAAACATCAGTAGAGTATTGTCTCATTCTCGTGTGACGGCTAAAAAATGTTCACCGAGCATCTCATCAAGCTGAAGGTGGTAGCACAGTGACCTTGTAGAGGTCACGGACACAGTGACCTTGATCCTTGATGTCACATGACTGTCCTTTTTCTGTCTTACTCTTTAGTGATGACATCTGTGAAGATATATTTTATTTTTAATCCCATAGGGTCCATTCCACAAAGTCATCTCAGTGCTGCCCAAACTTTATGTCTGAGTATGCGGGTTTATGGTCATCTGAGTGCTACGATTGTATACCGGTATTCATCAATGTCCTGTGTTTCTTGATGTCATATATACTTTTCACTGAGGCTTCTTAGCTGAGAACGTGTTTCCTTTGACATCTCGGCTCTCTAGGACAGCTCTTCCTCTGTGACCTTCTCCAGCTCGGGGCAGTTCTCGGGGGTTATGCAGCGGCCGCTGTGCAGGACCTTGTTGGCCGGGCACTGGCAGCTGGCCACACACGGCTTGTAGCAGTTCTCCTCCAGGTTGCCGAGGGGCGTGTCTCGGTTCTCGCATGTCCGGGGGCACACTGGACCACAGTCGTCAAACATCAGCCCAGAGTCAGGTGGGCAGGTAAAGGCTGGAACATGACACAGTGAGTGAGTGAGTGAGTGAGTGAGTGAGTGAGTGTGAGTGAGTGAGTGAGTGAGTGAGTGAGGTTTAATTCTGCTTTTAGCAATATTCTGCCAATATCACGGTGGGGGACCCCGGAAAATGGGCTTCACACATTGACAATGTTGTACACATGTGGGAAATCAAACCCATTTTTTTGGCGTGACGAGTGAACGCTTTAACCACTAGGCTACCCCACCGCTCCCCAAAGGTTAAGAAGAGTATGGTTTTACGCCGCTTTTAGCAATATTCCAGCAATATCACAGCGGGGGACACCAGAAATGGGCTTCACACATTGTACCCATGTCGGGAATCGAACCCTGGTCTTCGGCATGACAAGCAAACCCCTTAACCACTAGGCTACACGACCGCCCCTGGTGTGACAAGAAAATGCATTAACCACTAGGCTAACTCACCACCCCAAAACACCGAAAAAGTATATCAAACAAAGGAACTAGGAAATCAGTGATGTTGAGATCAACTATTGCCATATCACATGTGTGTCAGATGGAGTAGTTGCGGAATGACTATTTCTGGTACAATGGCTGGCGTTCAAGATCACGTACCACACAGATTATTAGTTCTCCACTGAACTTTGACCTTGGCTTTCGCACATTCGTGTGCATAGGATGCCAGGATGTCACAGAGACAGTTGGGGCTGTCGGCACATGCACACATGTCATACACACATGAAGAGAAGAATGGTTCAGGGGAGACAACCTTGTGACATCGGGAGAATACCTTGCTCTGAAACACATCGATAGAAAAGTTAGTAGGTCAAGGTCAGTCAATGAAAATGGAGGAATGTACATTGGGTGATTCATCAGCTGCTACTGAGGCTGCCGGCCCCCTTTTGGTATGCTGGATTTTGGGGTCTAGGGGTATTCATGACTCAGTAGTAAGATACGTGGGATGCAAATAAAATCGAGTCAACATTTAAATTTTAAAAGTCTCCCATGAGTATGAATATTTTATTTTATTTTTTCTTATTTTTTTTTCTTATTTAACTTCAAATCGCACTCTTTTCTCAATGTTTTTGAGATTTGTGGTAATTGGGATTCAGGGGTGGGCAATGAGAGTCAGAGTGATGGTATGGATTCAGAGGAGGAGGGGGCTGGCACCCTCTGTCCTATAAAGTCTGTAGAACGGTTTTAGCAAATACAATCCACTCAGCTACCATACGTAGTAAGTTCTTCCCCATATGTGTAGCTGGGGTTCGCACATAAACGATCACATCCAAAAGTGGGAGAAATATGACAATCAGTATTAGGGAAAAAGGTACAGATAATCAACAAGAAATTTGTGAGAATAAGCGGGAAATACCAACCTAACCCACCCCTTTTGAAAATGGACTTGTCCGACATTGTCAAGGTTGTATTCAACGCAGGGAGTCATCATCATTAAAATTAAGCTAACTATTTTCAAAGCTTGTACAGTTTATCAACACCCTTCAAGAGGTTGTACATAATGTTGATATCTCATGTAAGAAATAAACTGAAAGTATGTCTGCCTACCGTGATGATGGAACACTTGGTGGTGGCAATCTTCCTGATGCGGTACCCGGCGCCTGTACATGGATCTACATCATCAGCATCGGCACACTCCTCCCCCAGCTGCGTCTTGGCCTACAACAACATAATATCCCATCATACCCAGCATATCACATCAGTTCCTGGAATATCCCTAGCATGGTACACTTGTTTCACAGGGAGACCATGTGGGTTGGGTGGGCAGGTTCAGTGACTTGGTGGATTGAATGTCATGTCCAAATTGCAGTTGCTCATTATATCAACCACTCTTTTGTCTGATCCTGAGATCCTGGTCAACAAGACCTAAATATTTATAGCATGTTGTCCTATTCCTCGAATATTGTTGAGTGCAACATTAAGAAAGAAACAAATACAAGACAATCTATGAAACAAGAATACAACACACACTATTTTCTGTCTGAACACTGGATATTATTTGAGAATATCTTGTAATATCAATGGTAATGGACAAACACATATTCTTAACACTGATGTACAGTCAGTGATTTCTTTAGATATAAGTGTAGGACTCCGGTCTGGTGGGACTAATCTGTACACATGACATCAATACCATTGCAATGCCATGTCTAAGATGACCTTTTTGTGTGACATCATTACCACTGTGACGTCATGTCTCAGATGACATTTTTGTGTGACATTAATACTCTGGTATTAGCAAAACCCTAAATGGGCCCTATCTTTAATTGGGCCTCAGCCAAAGACAATATAGGGGATATAACTCTCAAAAGATTGCTGCTGAGAGCACGCACATGGCAGCCATTTGATTTCTGTATGTTGAAAACAAATATCATTGATGACTTGACATATACACCCAAGCTCCTTCCCAGTGAGTGACATGCGAAATGTGGAAGTGGCCATTACCAGAATCTTGAAACTTGTCCCTTTGACCCCAAATGTAGTTTCTCATATGAATTTACCTTTTTGTTTGTTTCATCAGATTGGTTTGAGATTGCAGTCGAACAGAAAATCATCCCACTTCCCCCTTACATTCGTACTACACCAATTACATGATTGTTGAAATGAAATAGAAATTCAAACTGACAAACGAAGAAAATAATTTAGCTGTGGTAAGAGTATTCAGTGTCACGGCAGTCATCACTTGTTTGGAAACATAATGGTCAGTCGGTTGTGAGTTCAAATTCAAGTATGGTTGTAGCCACCTATCACAGTGGGGAGCTTTGACTTGCGGCAAAAGGGAGTACGCTCAAGGTAATACTTGTGTTCATTTGTACAATTCAACATTTCAGATCAAGGAGAAGAAATGAAGATGAATCGTTTTAGAAAGCTGACATCTGATTGGCTCAAGAACTCTTGCATCCATCATATAGATTGGGCAGTCAAGGTCTGCTCAGGATTCACCCGATGCAACCTTCTATGGAGGTGTTCTAAGATCTTAATGCGGAGAGGTCATATTGAAGAAAAAAATTATCTTAAGAAACTTGATGCTCAGTCTTATTCATAGGGTTAGAAGAGTTATATAAAAAACTACCTACTGAAGTCAGAATGTTTGTGGTCATTCAATAATAACATCTACTACATATAGAAAATGGCACAGATCTGACCAACCATTTTAAATCTGATTTGAATCTTACAAAGATGTTGAAATGTGATACAGTACAACCTATTGTAAATAGAGATTACTCCACGAATGTCTGTCAGATACCATTTATCTTACAACAAGTTGTTTCAAAATGTATCAAATGAGCGAACTGAAGCACGAGCAATTTATCAATGACTTTTAACAATCAGAAAAGTAGTCCATCGTCATCTGACGTCAGGTCATCACCATGGAGTAGCCAATCACGGGCCTGGAATTCAATCTCACACATATGTTTGATACCAGTTATCTCAAATGGGTTTCTCACCCACAGGTGTGTAAGAATACTGTGTTCATCATACTACACTTTCTCATCATACTGGAGCTCCTCTCACCTTCCAACTGTTGCCAAACACTGCTGGGGAGTTTGTGATTTGACCAAACTTGGTCCGCAGATCATCATGGGGAAAGCCATTGAAGTTCCCACACAGTCCACACAGCTTTCTCTTGTAACCCCCGGTGATGCTCAGCTCGGCATAGCTGTCCCCATTCCACAGCAACTGTAGGCAGATTGGCATGGGGTTACAAGAATAGAACATGGCAATGCCAGAGAATAATCAGTCTAGGTTATCTGCTGCGACAGATTTCATTGTATAAAAGGAGAAATAGAGGGGAAAATAATATGAATGGAGCCCTGAAAAAAGTGATGACACCAAGGGGGCGGTCGGGTAGCCTTGTGGTTAAAGCGTTCGCTCGTCACGCCGAAGACCCGGGTTCGAATCCTGACATGGGTACAATGTGTGAAGCCCATTTCTGGTGTCCCCCACCGTGATATTGCTGGAATATTGCTAAAAGCGGCGTAAAATCAAACTCACTGATGACACCAGGTGTTCATTACATGAATGGATCACCAAACACCAGTGATGACAGCAAGTGTTCTAAATATAACATTTACACTTCTGGTCAGAAAATATACAGGTAGAAGCTTCATAAAGAAAGATTGAAGGTTTGAAAAATAAAGTATAAGAAATTTTCTTCAACCATAGTAATGACAATAAATATTTAATCTAAGGCTAAACGTTGAAAGTTTGTTGTACACTGATTTTTCAGTGAAAAATTCTGGTCAGTAGGAAAAGAAAAAAGAAAGATATTTCAGATTGTTTCCTGTTGTTAAAACAGTTATCTGAATATGTAGTCCTGTGAGCAGTGTTAGTTGAACTTATCAAGTTATTTAACTGATTGTGGAGCATGTTAGTTTGCATTTGTTACAATGAAAAAAATAGTGCCTTTCAGATCTTATTCTTTTCAATGTTTATATTGTTTTAGGATTAAATCTAAAAAAGCCTAATCAGCACTTGACCACTGTGATGAAAGACTGTGAAGGTACATTAATAAAAACATGAATCGGTTTCCGGAAATAAAGGACGGGTCATTTTTTACAGGGGTGTGTGGGGGCACAGGTGGCCCAGTTGTCAAAGGCGCCATGATTTGCTGTGCAGAGTTGCGTCCCTTGGGCACACCAGAAACCTATGATTGTGGTTTGGAATCCCGGTTCGCCCTGATTATGTTTCTAGGTTTGTCAGCACCATATTCGTGCTCGTGGGTTACTGAAGTGGTAAACATCTGAGACCTGCTTCACTTCGGGCTTTCCTCCCACATTAAGCTGACACGCTGTGATATATATGGAATACTGTTAAAAGCGGCGTTAAACCCAACTCACTCACTCACTAGGGATGTGTGGGTCAGAGGTTTTTGATGTAGCAACATACTGAAAATAATGACCCTCCCCTAATAATTGTCATATTTTTGGATGACCCTCCCTATGTCCCAGCAATATATTTTATTAAAAAAATCTCCATAAATGTATATTATTTTATAACCCTACCCTGAGAGTCATAATTTTGGTGACCCTTCACGATTCCCTCTGACCCTTCCCCCCATAATAAATTACCAGTCCGTAAATGATTCCAGACAGACCAAGAGATGATCACAATGCCCTAGAACATATGTAGAAAGATCTGTAGGAAGCAGTGTAAAACACATGACTCTAGTGCACCTCACCTTCAGTCCTATGTCCGTGTTGAGGAGGACGGTGCTGCCTGACATCTCGATGTGGACACGCGGCTCATACAGGAACGGCAACTCCACCACACGGCCGTTCACCTGACACAGAGATCAGATATACGTCACAGGACTGTCAAACACCATTAGCTGTTGCTGGTGTCAGTGAGTCTCCACCAACTGTCCTCTTCTGTCAAGAGGTGAGGTGGGTTTAAATGGGGTTAAATGATGCGTTCAAGATTATTGTGTGTGTATGTATGTGTATGTCTGTGTGTCTGTGTTTCTATGCATGTGTGTCTGTGTTTCTATGTGTGTGTGTCTGTTTCTATGTGTGTGTGTCTTTGTTTCTATGTGTGTGTGTCTGTGTTTCTATGCATGTGTGTCTGTGTTTCTATGTGTTTGTGTGTCTGTGTTTCTATGTGTGTGTGTCTGTTTCTATGTGTGTGTGTCTTTGTTTCTATGTGTGTGTCTGTGTTTCTATGCATGTGTGTCTGTGTTTCTATGTGTTTGTGTGTCTTTGTTTCTATGTGTGTGTGTCTGTTTCTATGTGTGTGTCTTTGTTTCTATGTGTGTGTGTGTCTGTGTTTCTATGTGTGTGTGTCTGTGTTTCTGTGTGTGTGTGTCTGTGTTTCTATGTGTGTGTGTCTGTGTTTCTATGTGTGTGTGTCTGTGTTTCTATGCATGTGTGTCTGTGTTTCTATGCATGTGTGTCTGTGTTTCTATGTGTGTGTGTCTGTTTCTATGTGTGTGTGTCTTTGTTTCTATGTGTGTGTGTCTGTGTTTCTATGCATGTGTCTGTGTTTCTATGTGTTTGTGTGTCTGTGTTTCTATGTGTGTGTGTCTGTTTCTATGTGTGTGTGTCTTTGTTTCTATGTGTGTGTGTCTGTGTTTCTATGCATGTGTGTCTGTGTTTCTATGTGTTTGTGTGTCTTTGTTTCTATGTGTGTGTGTCTGTTTCTATGTGTGTGTCTTTGTTTCTATGTGTGTGTGTGTCTGTGTTTCTATGTGTGTGTGTCTGTGTTTCTGTGTGTGTGTGTCTGTGTTTCTATGTGTGTGTGTCTGTGTTTCTATGTGTGTGTGTCTGTGTTTCTATGCATGTGTGTCTGTGTTTCTATGCATGTGTGTCTGTGTTTCTATGTGTGTGTGTGTCTTTGTTTCTATGTGTGTGTGTCTGTGTTTCTATGCATGTGTGTCTGTGTTTCTATGCATGTGTGTCTGTGTTTCTATGTGTGTGTGTGTCTTTGTTTCTATGCATGTGTGTCTGTGTTTCTATGCATGTGTCTGTGTTTCTATGTGTGTGTGTCTGTGTTTCTGTGCATGTGTGTCTGTGTTTCTATGTGTGTGTGTCTGTGTTTCTATGTGTGTGTGTCTGTTTCTATGCATGTGTCTGTGTTTCTATGTGTGTGTGTCTGTGTTTCTATGCATGTGTGTCTGTGTTTCTGTGTGTGTGTGTCTGTGTTTCTATGTGTTTGTGTGTCTGTGTTTCTATGTGTGTGTGTCTGTTTCTATGTGTGTGTGTCTGTGTTTCTATGTGTTTGTGTGTCTTTGTTTCTATGTGTGTGTGTCTGTGTTTCTGTGTGTGTGTGTCTGTGTTTCTATGCATGTGTGTCTGTGTTTCTATGTGTGTGTGTCTGTGTTTCTATGTGTTTGTGTGTCTTTGTTTCTATGTGTGTGTGTCTTTGTTTCTATGCATGTGTGTCTGTGTTTCTATGCATGTGTGTCTGTGTTTCTATGTGTGTGTGTCTGTGTTTCTATGTGTGTGTGTCTGTGTTTCTATGTGTTTGTGTGTCTTTGTTTCTATGTGTGTGTGTGTCTTTGTTTCTATGCATGTGTGTCTGTGTTTCTATGCATGTGTGTCTGTGTTTCTATGTGTGTGTGTCTGTGTTTCTATGTGTTTGTGTGTCTGTGTTTCTATGTGTTTGTGTGTCTTTGTTTCTATGTGTGTGTGTCTGTGTTTCTGTGTGTGTGTGTCTGTGTTTCTATGCATGTGTGTCTGTGTTTCTATGTGTGTGTGTCTGTGTTTCTATGTGTTTGTGTGTCTTTGTTTCTATGCATGTGTGTCTGTGTTTCTATGCATGTGTGTCTGTGTTTCTATGCATGTGTCTGTGTTTCTATGTGTGTGTGTCTGTGTTTCTGTGTGTGTGTGTCTGTGTTTCTATGTGTTTGTGTGTCTGTGTTTCTATGTGTGTGTGTCTGTTTCTATGTGTGTGTGTCTGTGTTTCTATGTGTTTGTGTGTCTGTGTTTCTATGCATGTGTGTCTGTGTTTCTGTGTGTGTGTGTCTGTGTTTCTATGTGTGTGTGTCTGTGTTTCTATGTGTGTGTGTCTGTTTCTATGCATGTGTCTGTGTTTCTATGTGTGTGTGTCTGTGTTTCTATGCATGTGTGTCTGTGTTTCTGTGTGTGTGTGTCTGTGTTTCTATGTGTTTGTGTGTCTGTGTTTCTATGTGTGTGTGTCTGTTTCTATGTGTGTGTGTCTGTGTTTCTATGTGTTTGTGTGTCTTTGTTTCTATGTGTGTGTGTCTGTGTTTCTGTGTGTGTGTGTCTGTGTTTCTATGCATGTGTGTCTGTGTTTCTATGTGTGTGTGTCTGTGTTTCTATGTGTGTGTGTCTGTGTTTCTATGTGTGTGTGTCTGTGTTTCTATGTGTGTGTGTGTCTGTGTTTCTATGTGTGTGTGTCTGTGTTTCTGTGTGTGTGTGTCTGTGTTTCTATGTGTGTGTGTCTGTGTTTCTATGTGTGTGTGTGTCTGTGTTTCTATGTGTGTGTGTCTGTGTTTCTGTGTGTGTGTGTCTGTGTTTCTATGTGTGTGTGTCTGTGTTTCTGTGTGTGTGTGTCTGTGTTTCTATGCGTGTGTCTGTGTTTCTATATGTGTGTGTCTGTGAGGCTGCTTGTGCTAGTGTGAACTAATGCAGGTTTTATAGTGCCAGCCTACTGAGATACTATGCCACAGTTTTAACATGAATACCCCAGTGGGTACTGATTCTGAGCTGACAATTCCTTGTTTTAGCCCTTTACTGCCGAGTGCAAGACAGCCAGTGCCATCTTTTGGTAAGATCGATCCCCTACCTTCTGCCGATCATCTGACAACAGATATCCTGAGACTACCAAGTCAGTAAAGAGAGCAGAGGTTACATACTGATGAACCCCGAGCACTATGCATACTCACCTCTGGACTCTCCCCAGGGAGTTGAGACAGAATTAAGGATGGTTTGTTGGCTTTTGTGTTTATAGATCCTTTCAACACCAAGTCTTCATAACAGATGAATGAGATACTCTGATCTCTATAGATCACATGTATCTTTATTAACATATATATATGTTATGGCTGATTGGCAAGAGTTATCTACCTTGACAACATGGTTCTGTAGCATCTCAATGATGATGTCACTCATGGTGATGGTGAAGTTCTGAGCCCAAGAAACTTCCCCAGGTGCATTTCGATCGTCATGTTGGACTTCCACTCTGTAAAACAACAGCTGATACAGTGATTCCGCTCACATTGTTCGACTTTAGATGCTTATCGTATTGTTAGTTCGAAGGCAACCAGAAATAACATTGTGTAGCTATGAAATGAAAACAGTGTGTCACTATGAAATGAAAACATTGTGTCACTATGAAATGAAAACAGTGTGTAACTATGAAATGAAAACATTGTGTCACTATGAAATGAAAACCTGGTGTAACTATGAAATGAAAACATTGTGTCACTATGAAATGAAAACCTGGTGTAACTATGAAATGAAAACATTGTGTCACTATGAAATGAAAACCTGGTGTAACTATGAAATGAAAACAGTGTGTCACTATGAAATGAAAACATTGTGTCACCATGAAATGAAAACATTGTGTCACTATGAAATGTAAATGGATGAAATAAACAAACGGTTAATTAGGAGGGTGTCATTTGGTCTGTAGTTAACACTCTCTGGTAATGTATATTAACATCTGTTTTGTGGCTTTTCAATAGTAATTATTATAACATGTTATTACGTTACTAATCTCATGTGACCTGTGAAGATCCAGGTTAGAATAATCTTCAGCAACCCATGCTTGCCGTAAAAGGCGACTATGGTTGTCGTAAGAGGCGACTAACGTCAGGTGGTCAGGTTTGCTGACTTGGTTGATGCATACCATCGTATCCCAATTGCGTGGAAGCTCTTGATGTCAGTCACTGGATTGTCTGGTCCAGGCTTGATTATTTACTGACTGCTGTTTTATAGATGGAATATTGCCCGAGTGAGGCGTTAAACAACAAACAAGCAAACATAAAAATTAATCTCATGTACTCACGTAAAGTTGTTGTTCTCGCAGTCAGCAGCCATGATGTACCGACACATACCCTGGAAGTGGATGGTGGTGCCGTCGAAGCTGCGGTAGTGAGGGTCTCCATACACGATGCAGGTCCCTGGCTCTGGAGGGGGAGGTACAAGTTACATACACACAGATGGAGAGTAATCCACACAAACTAGCCCATGCTCATCCCATTTCACAAAATGTTTGATAATGGACTCTCCTTTGCATTGAAGAAGCCAGGTTTGCAAGACAGATATTTCTGGGCAATGTGACATTTCTGTCCAGGAGACTAGTACCTTTATCAGCAAGTGACCTGATGCACTAGCATCTGTACTGAAAGAGTGGTTATTATGTGAGTATTGTTTAATGCCGCTTTTAGCAATATTCCAACAATATCACGGCAGGGGACACCAGAAATGGGCTTGACACACTGTACCCATGTCGGGAATCGAACCCGGGCCTTATTGTGATAAGTGAACTCTTTAACCACTAGGCTACCACACCGCCGCACCACCAAAGTTGAAAGACAACTTTGTCTTCGTAAACTCCTTTAGTGCTAGAAATAAGCTGATTAAGTAGAGTGTATGCTCTATGATCCAATGAGAAATTATGTACACCACATAAATGGCATATATTATATATGTACCTTCATAATTTGATATTATATGTCATTTTGCTTTAAAAAGCTAATTGTTTGCTTCTATGAAAAGAAAGATGACAGCTGGAACTTACGTTTGAGACACACTGGGCAGCAGTTGCCAGGGGTAACAGTGGGCACTTCATCGGGAGTACAGTCAAGAGCAGGGCACCGCTTAATTGCACACTTCACTTTACCAGCGATACACTTGCACCGGGTGCACTCATCTAGGGGCCACTCATCTCCTGGCTGCAGATATGATGTAACAAGACAGATAACTCTTGGTAACAAGACAGATAACTCTTGTTATCAAGACAGATAACTCTTGGTAACAAGATAGATAACTCTTGGTATCAAGACAGATAACTCTTGGTAACAAGATAGATAACTCTTGGTATCAAGACAGATAACTCTTGGTAACAAGATAGATAACTCTTGGTAACAAGACAGATAACTATTTGTAACAAGACAGATAACTCGTGGTAACAAGACAGATAACTTGTGGTATCAAGACAGATAACTCTTGGTAACAAGATAGATAACTCTTGGTAACAAGGTAGGCAGAATATATTTTCTAATCATGCAACCTGCAATCATGGGCTGTGTACTCTCGGGCAGATGACACCGGAATACGCTGTTCACTGTGTCGGATTAATAATGACTGATTAATAAGTGATTTCAGCAATCCGTTGCAAATTAGGTATGTCGGAGTGCGAGACTGACGGATTAAGAGGTCTAAATAGCACTGATTTAATTGGTTCCCATCATAAGTGTTGGATAAAGCCGATTGTCAGATTAACAAGACTTGACTGTAGTTACCTCTTGATAACAAGGCAGAAAACTCTTGATAACAAGAAAGATAACTCTTGGTAACAAGATAGATAACTCTTGGTAACAAGATAGATAACTCTTTGTTGAAAGATAAATTTATAACATTCCATAAGTGAAGAAGGTATTTGCAATAATTGCACAAAACTCATAGTAATTTAGATTACTTTTGATTGAGCATTGCCTAAAACCACTATGATCGCTATTACAGTTATGGTATATCACAGCATGTCAGCATAGTCTAGAAGGAATGCCCTAAGTGATGCAAGTCTGGGATGTTGCAGCTGAGATCTGTCTGGCCCTGTACCTGATAAATAGTGTCATAGTAGACACATGTAGCATCCTCCACGGGCTGGCACACCTCACAACAACCAGTAGAGTCTGGGACAAGTTGTTCCGCTGCCGTACACTGTAGTGGGGGACACTCCTGAAGGCTACACCTGACCTCTGACTTTTCACACCGACATGTGACGCACTGGTTGTCGGCCGCTGACCAGACGTCCCCCTCCTTGTAGTACTTCCCCTCCGTCTGGTCATAGCAAGCTGACAAGGAGAAATAATTGTCTCTAACATGCAATCTCATTCAAATCAGATACCGTCAGAATGTCCTTTCATCCGACCAATCAGAGCGTCACCTACCAGATCAGGAAAGTCAGAATTTGTTTTCTAATCATGCAACCTCAGAAAGGTTTACATGGGGTATTCCAAACAGTTACAGACTGATTCTGTCAAAATCATTGTCTATTTCTTACTTTAATAGGATAAATATTTGAGCAGAAGAGACTTTGCATAGCGCATGGGGAGTACTGCTACTGGAGATACAAACATGTCCTCGCAACTTGATGATGTTTTAATCAGTTTGGGGAGAAAGTGTACAGACAACTGATGTGAGAATTGTGAGAATATCCTGAAAATACCTTTAACCCCCTGTTCATAATGGACTTGTCTGACATTGCCAAGGTCGGATTGTATTCAGGGAGTCATCATTAGTTAAATACGGGTAAACATTTTTAAAGCTTGTACATTTTAATAACATCCTTAAAGAGGCTGTACATAATGTTGAAATCTCATGTAAGAAATAAACAACTTGTGGTCGTGCACCCCTCATGGTTTTTTCTCCCCCCCAGTGTTATTGTACAATAAACAACTCCCACTCATCGTTTTTTTTCTTAATTATTCAAGTTTGTTCATGTGCTTGTTGTTTAACCCCACACTCTATATTCCAGCAGTCTTGACCAGAAAAGTCAATGATTCATGTTATGAGCCACAATCAACACCATCAGAGTACAATGTCACAAAATGAACCAAGTCACTGGGTCTGACCACCGATCCAATAGGTAATCAATTGTAATCAATAAAATCAGAAGATTTGATCCATACAAGTGACAAGACTTAGAGATCGGAATAAGCCAAGCTACATACGTGGACACTTGGGGCAGCACTGTCCGCGTGTGAAGATCTGGACAGTCGGTGGGCAACTGAGGGGCTTGCACTGCTCCTTCATACACTCCCATTGGAAGTCCTCCTGTGTGATACACAGAGAAATAGGTTAGTTCCCCACAAAACACCATCAACAGAAGGAGGTTCTCCTGCGTCAGACACAGAGATAATGATTCAGTCCCTCACAAAACACCATCAACAGAAGGAGGTTCTCCTGCGTCAGACACAGAGATAATGATTCAGTCCCTCACAGATCACCAACCCTTACAGGTATTAGTCTTACAAAACATTGTTGGGCATCATTCCACATATTTGCTGATTATGTTACAACTAGTCTGTCTTACAGACCCTGATACAAATATATCAAATACAGCCCATGCAAGTCTATAATGTTTGGCAAGTCTAGATCACTGCAGTATCAGGATGAAGAGAGTCACTGGGCTCCTTTTACTTACTTTTATTTAGATAACTGAACAACTGTTTTTTTCTGTACGATATGTTCATTTCAGAGACTAGATGTTAGTCTATGTTACAACCTGCAACATGTGATCTCTCAACTCACCTTGCACTCGCAGTAGAAACAAGGCTCCTCCGGACGCGGGTGTGTCCGCCGACCGATCTCAGTCCGGGTGCAGGTAGTTCCGACTGCAACACATCACAAGGTCACAACACTACTATAGACATGTGTTTAAACTGTGATATCACATACACATGCATTGGGTAATCATCTGCTCCAGCACGGATCTTCATAATATTGTTCATGATACCATTAACATAATAACTACCATCCCCTAACTGCCATCCCCTAAATAACATCCATTAACTACCATCCCCTAAATAACATCCATTAACTACCATCCCCTAAATAAAATCCATTAACTACCATCCCCTAAATAACATCCATTAACTACCATCCCCTAAATAACATCCACTAACTACCATCCCTTAACTACCATCCCCGTGCACAACTTTGACCTCCGGATTGTTTAAATACTGAGGGGATTAATTTGAAGAACTGTGTAGTTAAAATGCAGAGTATGCACATAGAAAAAGGGTGACAACTCACATCCAGCACAGGAAGGACAGCACTCGCCCGGAGCTGCAGCAATCAGCTGCTCGGGGGGACAGTTGGCTGTGCTGGGACAGGCCTCATGGACACACCGCAGGTGGCCATCCTGGGGACAGAAACATGTAGGAGGATGAACACAGACACCATCATGGTGATCAACTAAGACATGGGGAGGGGGCAGGGGGTAGCCTTGTGGTTAAAGCGTTTGTTCGTCACAAAAAGACCCATATTCGATTCCCCATATTGGTATAATGTGTGAACCCATTTCTGGTGTCACTGCCGTGATATTGCTGGAATATTAAACACTCACAAGACATTGGGGTGACACTGGTGGTTTCCACACAGAAAAATATCCTGCCTTAACTTACCAAACACATGGATTTAATGATTTGGCTGTTTTTAATAATACTGGAATATTGCAACATATATGATTTTGGAATTAGTATATTGTCACAATAAGTGAGTATGGTTTTACAAAGCTTTAAGCAATATTCCATCAATATCACGGCGGGGGACACCAGAATTGGGCTTCACACATTGTACCCATGTGGAGAATCAAACCCGTGTCTTTGGTGTGATGAGCAAATGCTTTAACTACTTAAAGCCCCGTAACACTATCAAAAACTTGGTCAAAGTTGTCTTGGTCAAAGTTGGACTGTTTACACTCATCAAAGTTTTTGACAGGCCGTCATGGTTTTGGTGGGAATTATCTTGACGGGTTGGATCCTACTGAAGAAGAATATTTTTGCTGTTGTCATATGTATTTTGTGTATTGCCATGTTGAGAAGGCGGCGTTGGGGTAGGGAAAGGCACATTTGGTCCCGAGAATGGCTGCTCATTGTTGAAACGAATCATTTAATTCTTCCAACATCTCGTCAGACCAAAATAGTTGACTCATTTTGACTTGACTCTATGCACTTCCGTTTGAAAAGGGGTAAATGTTCCTTGCAGTCTGATTGGCTAAATTAAATCAACGTCATCAAACTTTGATCAAAGTTTGACGAGAAATAGGATTGGTTTCTATTCCATCAAAGTTCTGTCAAAAACTTTGTCAAAGTTTTTGATGGCATGATTTACTCTTAAAAACTTGGTCAAAATGGACTTTGACACCACCGCCCCTCGTCACATTGAAGTATGACATCACAATTGATATGACATGACAGTGAGGGCACATCTCACCTCACAAGTACAGTAGTCACATGGGTCTCCATTGGGAGTGAACACCTCCCCGTTCTTGTAGCGCCGGCCCTCAAAGTTACATGCTGAAACACACAGGCAGTAGCTGATGAAAGGGAATGGTAAATGGTAGATGTACATGTTGAATGTTTAACAGTGAATGATGAATGCTGAACAGGGAAAGGTAAATGTTGAACTGTGAATGGTGAATGTTGAAATGTGTAAGGAGCATGTTAAAATGGAATGTTGACATTGTTGAACAGAGAATATTGAACAGTGCATGGAAAATGTTGAAATATGAATGCTAAATGTTAAGCAGTGAAAGTAGCATGTTGAACAGTGAAAGGAGCATGTTGAGCAGTGAAAGGAGCATGTTGAGCAATGAAAGTAGCATGTTGAGCAGTGAAAGTAGCATGTTGAGCAATGAAAGTAGCATGTTGAGCAGTGAAAGGAACATGTTGAGCAGTGAAAGGAGCATGTTGAGCAGTGAAAGGAGCATGTTGAGCAGTGAAAGGAGCATGTTGAGCAATGAAAGTAGCATGTTGAGCAGTGAAAGGAGCATGTTGAGCAGTGAAAGGAGCATGTTGAGCATTGAAAGGAGCATGTTGAACAGTGAAAGGAGCATGTTGAACAGTGAAAGGAGCATGTTGAACAGTGAAAGGAGCATGTTGAGCAGTGAAAGGAGCATGTTGAACAGTGAAAGGAGCATGTTGAGCAGTGAAAGGACATGTTGAGCAGTGAAAGGAGCATGTTGAGCAGTGAGGGAAATCAGAATCCTAACTCACTGGGACAGACGGGGCAGCACTGGCCTGGGACCTGGACCGGCTCATCACACGGGACGTAGCAGTCCACCTCCATGCAGGTCACCAGGCCCCCGCTGCACGTACACGAGATGCACGGGTTCTCCGGCAGGATCCACATCGCACCAGTCTCATACTGGATGTCACGGAACTCACAACCTACATGGGAGAAGATAGATTACAGGTCACATTGCACAACACAGCATCAAAGATTTTTCTACCATAGCTACTCTCAGTGTGAGATATAATTGGAGGCTTGTAATAACATTACTGTGAGAGGCATGTTAATGGAGGCTTATTCCTTTAGGGGAAGACATCAAATAAGACTGCAGTACTAGTGAACAGAGAAAAGAGGACAAGCCCTGAGTGCTGTCATCTGTATCAGTATTGTGACATGGCCGCCAACTGTGTACGACAGACAAGCCTTGATTGGACAGTTGAGCCGAGGGATCTTACCTTTACATTTCTCACAGCACTGGCCGGGCGGTGTCTCCTTCATGAGGCAGGTCAGTGTGGGGCACTTCTCCTCTTCACACACAACATTCCCATCCTACACAACATAGGACATATATGCAGTACACCACATTACATTACACTGCATTAGGTCTGAGTCTGATGTTACCTTAGGTCAAAGACTGATCTTACATTAGGTCTAAGACTGATCTTACATTAGGTCCAAGACTGATATTACATTGATCTAAGACTGATCTTACATTAGGTCTAAGACTGATCTTACATTAGGTCTAAGACTAATCTTACATTAGGTCTAAGATTGATCTTACATTAGGTCTAAGACTGCTGTTACATTAGGTCTGAGTCTGATGTTACATTAGGTCTAAGACTGATCTTAGATTGGGTCTAAGACTGATCTTACATTGATCTAAGACTGACCTTACATTAGGTCTAAGGCTGATCTTACAATAGGTCTAAGATTGATATTACATTAGGTCTAAGACTGATCATCCATTGATCTAAGACTGATCTTACATTAGCTCTAAGACTGATCTTACATTGGGTCTAAGCTGATCTTACATTGATCTAAGACTGATCTTACATTAGGTCTGAGTCTGATGTTACATTAGGTCTAAGACTGATCTTAGATTGGGTCTAAGACTGATCTTACATTGATCTAAGACTGATCTTACATTAGGTCTAAGGCTGATCTTACAATAGGTCTAAGATTGATATTACATTAGGTCTAGGACTGATCTTCCATTGATCTCAGACTGATCTTACATTAGCTCTAAGACCGATCTTACATTGGGTCATGCCGATCTTACATTAGATCTCAGACTGATCTTACATTAGCTCTAAGACTGATCTTACATTGTGTCTAAGACCGATCTTACATTGGGTCATGCCGATCTTACATTAGATCTAAGACTGATCTTACCCTACACGAGCACCTCTTGCAGGGGTCTGGCTGGAAGGACTGTCCATTCCTGTACAGCGTGTCCTCGAAGAAGCAGTCGGTACACAAAGGGCAGCACAGGTCTTGGCGGGGATGTGTACACTTGACGGCACACTGCTCACGCTCACACTTGACCCGACCCATCTGAGGAGGACACAGTCATGTTGTTGTAATGTGTGGAATCATGTGGGCATGCTGGCCAGACCTAATCTATGTAAATGCCTCTCCATAAAGAATTCAAGAATGTTATGTTCATTGTATTAAAACAATACAAAAAAGAAAACAAGAGTTTGCCACGAACGTGGCTATATCCCCTGCCCCTGTTGCAGAACTTATGACATAATTAAATCTAAACAAACCCTAACCTTTTTTAACCGAGGTGGAACTTGTCATGGAAATTGTAAAAAAAGAAGAGTTTGGAACTCAAAGTCTATCTTGTTGCCATGGAAACGTAAAAAATAAAAATTTCTAAAATTTCTAATAGCAAAAGGCACAAGTTCAGCATGTATTTGACAGACCTGCAAAGTTTCATGAAAAAATATTGAACGGTTTCTGAGTTATGCTCCGGAAACGAAACGTGACGGACGTATGGACGGACCTTCATAATCATTTGTGCAGATCAGATGTACAAGACTTTGGTCAATCTGTTTCATGTACCTTTTTGTTATTACCATTCAAATCTGGCTTCCATAGATGTCGCTAGGATGAGATCAAGCTATGTCTCATAGGAGATACTGCTTCATTGAATTGCATTACTCCGCAACTAAAGGGGGCACGGGTGGCCCAGTCGTCTAAGGTGCCACGATTCGCTGTGCAGAGTTGCATCCCTTGGACACGCCAGGAACCTATCATTGTGGGTTCGAATCCCGCTTCGCCCGATTATGTTTCTAGGTTTGTCAGCACCATACCCATGCTCATGGGTTTCACCGAAGTGGTAAACGTCTGAGACCTGCATCACTTCGGGCTTTCCTCCCACATTAAGCTGACACGCCGTGATATAACTGGAATAGTGTTAAAAGCGGCGTTAAATCCAACTCACTCACTCACCGAAACTAAAATTTGCAGGCGATTGTGCCATTGGGTACAATGACATCACAATAAAAAATGATATCACTAGTCCCTCTGCCACTGAAGCTCAATACTTGTAATTTTTACACTCAAGACATTGGTTACAACTGTTTACAAACTGAAAAAAATTGGAAGAATGGTTTTGGATTTTAAATAGAATCTCACCTTGTGTCATTTGATATCAAATATATGTTCACTCTTATATAAAAATGTAAGACATGAGTTTTATTTTTTATCAACTCTTGTTTACATATTTGATATCAAAAGACACTCAGGTAAGATTATTTATTTAATCAGTGATCAATAACAATCATCGCTCACTCTTTGTGACACAATATTCAAACTATGTCATAAAGTGGAACCACCAATGAGAAGTGAGTTCTGAACAAGCTGAGTATGTTACAACACATTATACAAGGGGCAGGGTATATGTGAAATGAACACAGTCATCTAATTAAGGCAAGAATAACAAGCGTTCCACACATCCTGTGTTGAAGGTCGTGCAGTTGTGTCATAAACATAATCTGTGCCTAGTGAGGCATAGCCACCATTCCCTGTCTGGATTGACCAATCTATAAATGACTAGTGAGCTGAGGCACAAGAAACTCCATAATTATAATGATTCAATTCAAACCTTACGTCATAATTATATCAAAAATTATTTTTCAAAAATCCATTTTTTGTAATATTATTTTTTATACCCTTTTATTCTCATTCCCTTAAATTGCCAGAATCTTGAGAAGAAATATTAATTATTAATTATTCTGAATGTTATACATATGCAGAAAGAGATATTTCTTATACAGTTATTTATTTGTTTTATGAATCCTACTAAAGTGACACTTTACCCGTGAAGATTCCCGGTTAGAATAGGTCTTCAGCAACCTCTGCTTGCCGTAAAAGGTGACTATGCTTGATGTAAAAGGCGACTAACGGGATCGGGTGGTCAGGCTCGCTGACTTGGTTGATGCATGTCATCGATCCCAATTGCATGGATCGATGCTCATGACATTAATCACTGGATTGTCTGGTCCAGACTCGATTATTTACAGACCGCCATCATATAGCTGGAATATTGCTGAGTGCGGCGTTAAACAACAAACCAACCAACTTTACTGGCCATGGGATACCTACCTTGCACGTGCAGGTCTGGCAGTTGTCTTCAGGATGCTGGAAGCGGCTGTCATCCGGGTATGTCTGACCCAGGAACTGACACACTGCAGCAGACAGAGGGACAATGTTATATTCTCATCTATGAACACACAATGTCATTTAGAAAGTGGTCAAATGTAACAAATGTTATATTTGGGATAACACCTTCTTGGTAAAGTACAGATTCTAGTACTCGTTGGATTTAAACCTGCACTGTCAGAATGAGGGACGTAATTGCCATTTACTTGCATATACAAATCTACATGACACAGAACAGAAGGAGTGTGATTCATTTGATGGGCCAAATATTTGTAAACAAAACAACAAAAGCCTTATATATGGAGTGAGTGAGTTGGGTTTAACGCCGCTTTTAACGATATTCTAGTTATATCGTGGCGTGTCAGTTTAATGTGGGAGGAAAGCCCGAAGTGATGCAGGTCTCAGACGTTTACCACTTCGGTGAAACCCACGAGCACGGGTATGGTGCTGACAAACCTAGAAACATAATCGGGGCGAACCGGGATTCGAACCCACAATCATAGGTTTCTGGCGTGCCCAAGGGACGCAACTCTGCACAGCGAATCACAGCGCCTTAGACGACTGGGCCACCCGTGCCCCCCCTTATATATGGACTATTATTACCCATGCTTACTGGACTGAAAGAAAATATACTAAACTCCGGATATGGAGTAGCACTGAAGTCACAGACTCGTCTTGTTACTATCTGCATGTGAAAGTGTGTGTCAAATATCCAAGCTTATCTTATCACATGTCCTGACATGCTAACACCCAGGCACCATGCATACATTGTTTGATTGGCAGTTTCAGAAGTTGGTAAGTAACAGTAAAGACTGAATGCTTTATGGATGACAACTTCTTTACTCTATCATGATGCAACATTTCGGTATAGATCCTTGAACTGTTGTCAACATTTTTTTGTTAATCATTATTAGGGGTATGTGATATAAACATATATATTTCCATAAAGTGGAGGGATTGGCAAACAAGCAAATTTTGCTTATCTGAATGCCTCTCCCAAACATGATACATATACAAACAGCAATGTATTGAAAGTGGCATGAGAAATAGCATACATTGTATAGTTGACATTAAAGATAAGTATTGTTCCTAAAAGTGTTTAATTACTGGATTATCTTCCATAACTACAGTTACATTATTATTTACATCCAGCACAACAACATCGCAGTATCATATAGCAAAGCCATCATCTCAGACAAAATCTCTAAATTGGCAAGAAGATGAAAAACTGTGCACCGATTTAAAAATTTCAAGATTTGTTACTGTCGTTAAATTTGAATTACCATTCAGAATTGAATTTAAATCGTTTACGAAATAATACATGTTTTGCCTTACTGTACTGTTTAAGGGACACGTAAGAAAGAAATGAAGTGCATCTTTCGTATGATAGCCACAACAACATCATAAGGGGTATGTAAGTCTGTACTGTGCTATCTTGTCTCACTCTTGCTTGACAACGGTATAAGCATCTATACCACAAGAGAACAATAGAATAGAGATGTTATCATCCATAAAGTGTCTTGTTTTAACCATGTATACAGACTACCGTCACACTGCAGGATGGACGAATCATACACAGCCAACGCCACCAGTATTTTCATGACAGTTGTTTTATCAGCATGATACAGTATCTCATGATGAAGGAACAATGTCCATGTACGTGAGTGAGTCAGTATGGTTTTACTCCGCTTTTAGCAATATTCCAGCAATATCACAACGGGGGACACCAGAAATGGGCTTCACACATTGTACCCATGTTGAAATGGATCCAGGCCTTAGTGACACCATTTTGGCAAAATCCAGATACACAAGTATGGTGCCAAGGAACCTGACCATGGTCATCAAATTCTAAGAAAATGAAGGCGAAACAATAAATTGTGTTGTCTTAGATGACTGGGCCACCTGTCATCCCTTTCAATACAGAAATGAGTAAAAAAACCTTTTTTTTAAATATTGTTTTACACATGAGCCTCAGCCTTTGGCATTTGAAGATGATGACATACCTGGACATGACGGGCAGCACTCGGTGGGGAGCTGGACAGGTGTCATACAGCTGACTGCTGGGCACGTGATTGTCTGACAGATGATACTACCTCCCTGACAACACATTAACATTGACATGTCATTGTCTGACAGATGATTCTACCTCCCTGACAACACATAAACACTAACATGTCATTGTCTGACAGATGATACTACCTCCCTGACAACACATAAACACTGACATGTCATTGTCTGACAGATGATACTACCTCCCTGACAACACATAAACACTTACATATGATTGTCTGACAGATGATACTACCTCCCTGACAACACATAAACACTAACATGTCATTGTCTGACAGATGATACTACCTCCCTGACAACACACCAACATTGACATGTCATTGTCTGACAGATGATACTACCTCCCTGACAACACATAAACACTGACATGTCATTGTCTGACAGATGATACTACCTCCCTGACAACACATAAACACTGACATATGATTGTCTGACAGATGATACTACCTCCCTGACAACAAATAAACACTGACATATGATTGTCTGACGGATGATACTACCTCCCTGACAACACATTAACATTGACATATCATTGTCTGACAGATGATACTGTCTCCTTGACAACACATAAACACTGACATTTGATTGTCTGACAGATGATACTACCTCCCTGACAACACACCAACATTGACATGTCATTGTCTGACAGATAATACTACCTCCCTGACAACACATAAACACTAACATGTCATTGTCTGACAGATGATACTACCTCCCTGACAACACATAAACACTGACATGTCATTGTCTGACAGATGATACTACCTCCCTGACAACACATAAACGCTGACATATGATTGTCTGACGGATGATGCTACCTCCCTGACAACACATTAACATTGACATGTCATTGTCTGACAGATGATACTACCTCCCTGACAACACATAAACACTAACATGTCATTGTCTGACAGATGATACTACCTCCCTGACAACACACCAACATTGACATCTCATTGTCTGACAGATGATACTACCTCCCTGACAACACATAAACACTGACATGTCATTGTCTGACAGATGATACTACCTCCCTGACAACACATAAACACTGACATATGATTGTCTGACGGATGATACTACCTCCCTGACAACACATTAACATTGACATATCATTGTCTGACAGATGATACTGTCTCCTTGACAACACATAAACACTGACATTTGATTGTCTGACAGATGATACTACCTACGCACAAACAAATGATTGTCAGACTATGGTTGTCTTAATGATTGAAAACAAAAACAGAAAAAAACATGCTATTCCCCTGACAACAAGTAAATACATGACTTCTCATTTAGAACTCTCCTAAATGTCCATTGCAGGGTTACACGGTTACCTACCATGCATGTACACTGCTGGCAGGGATCCACGTCAGACACGAAGGACGCCATGTCCTTGTGAATCACACCCTCGTACAGACAGTCCAGACATTCAGGGCAGCAGCCATTGTCTCGGGCTGGGTGGCTGCACTTAGACTGACACTCCTGACGGAAACACTGCACACTCCCACCCTGAAACATTACACATCAATGAATGGTCCCTTGTTCAATAAAGAAAGAGCAAACCAACTATGCTTACTTCACATAAAATACATAGAGATTATTAAACAAGCAAGAGTACCATACAGATTTTACAACTTGAGTGTTAGAATTTCCTGATCGAGAAGGAGTTTCATAAAATCAGTACTACACACATGTGAGAGTAATATCAATATTACCATTATTTCTTAAACTTTGAGTCCCTGTTTAGCAAATTGCCCCGACCATCATCTTCGAAAACCACCATTGTCAAATGACATCAACAATCTTCTGCTATGACGTTGGTTCAAGTATGACATCATTCCAACCGTATGTCACAATAAGATTCACATGACGTCAACAATGTACACTGGTGTGAAGTGATATTTGCACTTGCATAAACAATTATTATGAACTCGGTTATTTCTAACCCTATGGGTAATAAAGACAATTATCACATGCATATTCCCACCAAATATTGCACCTTTACTAAATCAATATTTTAACCAAGCCTTTAACAAATATTGATGTCAGGTAAACAATGGAGAGTGTTTAATTTCAGGAATATTTACAAGTCATATGGCAATACTTCTGCAACAGACAATTTGTTTTTTTGTTTGTTGTTTAATGTTGTTGTTTGTTGTTTAATGTTGCACTCAGCAATATTACAGCTATATGACGGCAGTCTGTAAATAATCAAGTTTGCACCAGACAATACAGTAATTGACATAATGAACATCGACCCACGCAATTGGGATATGATGACTTGCATCAACAAGTCAGTGAGCCTGACCACCTGATTCCATTAATCACCTCTTATGACAAGCATAGTCGCCTTTTACGGCAAGCATTGGTTGCTGAAGACCTATTCTACCCCAGTCTTCACGGGTCAGTAATCCAGTGATACCATGGCATGTCAGCCTACTTTCGTAGGAAGAAAGTCTGAAGTGAAGATGGCATGATAGAAGTAATATGTCTGGCTTAATGAAGAATATACTCTGATGTCCAAGTCTGGCAATTATCAATCTAGCTTTCTGAAGGAGGAACACAAGGCCTGTGCTAATTGCTGCTGTTATTACAGCTAATTAACCTAGCTCCTGTTGTACAGCCGCCCCTGGTTCAACATAGACCCAACTGTTTCCTGATACACGTGGACTGAGAGATCAACAGGAAGCAATAAACTCATCAATGACCATTTAGGGTTCTGATAATTAAAATAATTTCCATGCCTGGCAATAGACGAGGCTGTTTTAGAGGAAGTGTTTGAGCCTTGTGAACCCCATATGAAATTCACAGGTTATCACAGGCGTAACATCAAGCTGTGATATCATATAACTTGTGTTTAACAATTCATGTTATTAATTTATTGATGATATTTATCAAAGATGCTGCAGTAAACATGAGATCAATTGGGTAGTTAAACAATTAAAAGTGAAATAATAGCATTTTTTGTAAATTAGGACTAGTTTCCTCCATTGCATTTAAATCTTTTCAAATGACAGAGGACATGGTCATCGAGAGGACACAAAGCATATAGCATGTATATGTGGTAAACTATATAGAAATTTAGTATGACTACATCCACACCATACACTTCTCACAAATTTCTTCTTTGAAATAAAATTCAAAATAATAAAAAAAAACCTTGGTCAAAATGACACGAGGTAAAGAATTGTCAGGTAAAATTTCAGGTAAATGTCTATAAAGAATCCTTTTGATATAAAATCAAGTGTATTTTCAATCAATCACAGCAGAACACAATATATTCATTATTCGATTTTTTTGCCAACATTTAAAAAATGCGAGGCTGGAATAATTATCTAAGTTTATCATTTTCAAATAAAGTTTTTAAAAAAGGCATCAGTGAACAATAACTGTTGACAGAAGTGAAGTTTGGCTTGACTTTTTAAGTGGTTATCTTATCAAGTAGAGAGTGAGTGGGTATGGTTTAGACCATATTTAGCAATATTCCAGCATTATGATGACTGGGGCACCAGCAATGGGCGTCACACATTTTACCCAAAGGGATCAAGTAAAGAAAGATGCGGGATACACACAACATAATGTGATGCTGGCAGCTGAAGAAATAAAACTTCATTTGTAACAGCATTAATCGCATATTTTTAACTTTTTTCCAAAATTTAGGACCGGTTCATTATCAAAAATAGAAATGTGGGCTTTCTGTGTCCACCAAACAATTCATGATGTCTTTTAAATTCTGAGACATACTTTGCCGGCATACATAATTTATATTTGATAACCTATTTCTATTTCTTCTATCTTTCTCTCTGTTTATGCTATTCTTGTTTTACTGATTGGGATAGATGATCACTACCGTCTTCTATCACAGTCAGACTGATGTTCATATTTTTCAGTTAAGCACATTTATCGACAGGCCCTGCAGGCGGGAACATACAAATACTATAGGAACCAGACTAGCAGTTTACCAATCAATTGCATCTTCTTTTCTTTATGAAAATATTTGTTTTAACTACACCAGAGGTACATATTTTTTTCATTTTATGTCATAACAGCTGCAAGAGTTGAAAATGAATCCCAGTCAAAAGATTATGGTTTATCTACTTTCCTTAAATTAAAATTAAAATTAAATTTAAGAAAGTAAATAAAAAAAACATAGGAAGAAAAGTTTGGTTAAAGTAAGCACTAAAGGAAGTCATTATCTAACACCAATTAGCAAATCTAGTTTATGACTTAACTCAGGGTATTCAGGTTTACAGGCAACTGTGAAACATGGCTAGTCAATAAAACATGGCTAGTTCATAAAAGTCCTGACACTATACATCTCAGCTCCTGTATCAGGCCATCATAAGAAACTAGCAGCACAGATGCAGTGATGTAGACTGTGCTGTGCATATTGCCGTCACTGATACAAATCACGCTTCTGAAGGTATCAGGTTGGCGGCAGTACTACACCCCTAAATATATTCAACACCTGTCAGAAGAAAAGTTATCAAGCTATCATACCCAATATAAAAGAACCCTCCCTTCCACTTGAGATGTGGTACCCACAGACTGAAGACCAAGTAATGACCAGTATCGGTAAGTTGCGATCCTTGAAACGGCTGATTCGTAAAATAATAACATGAAATATATTTAACAGTTCTCAGGACAAAGTAGACACAATTTATGGATAACAACTTCTTCAATTACTGTGAAGGCGCTGTTTCGGTACAGATCCGTTATACCGTTGTCAAGCAAGGAGTTGTTGTCCATAAATTGTGTCTACTTTGTCATCCGTCAACTTCTAAATAATGCTTATCTAACAATTAGTACTTAGGACAATAACATCTACCTGCTAGTCAACATGGCTTTTACCAAATCCCATTTATCTTACAATATCCTATCATTAACAGCTTAACATTACAGGTAAAACGTCTAACATGAATAAAACATTTGTGTGCAATTCCCTAAATGTTCACACACAGTTATAGTATTTATTTTAAACAAAACATTAGGAAAGGGTCTAGTAGTCTTCATCACAAACAATTGTCGTACATACCTGGAAAAATATCTAAACTTAACAAGACACTGTGTGTATAATTACAGACTGAAGCTGACTGGCTGCTTACACCACAGCTACTGTACAAGCAGAATATTAGGATTAACCAACTAGTTAAATAAACAATACAGACTAAACCCATCCCCCTGTAGAAGACCTATAGCCTATCATCACCCAAGCTAATCTGCTTGTTAAACATGTCCATCACTACAATCACTGGCTTATGGGGATCTGTCTTCATCCCATCCAAGAAGTAAACAACATTTACAATATCTTTTCTATTGTAAATAAATATTTTATATTTTAATGACTGAATTAGCAGTCTGTATGGTCTGTGTTGTCACTGTCCCTGTTCCTCTATCACATGGCCAGGGCTTGTCTGACTTCCACATGCCTGCATGTCTGATGCAAACATTTTATCACAATATGTCCTAACATTCAAATATACAATCTGAGAGAAAAAACTTAAAAAGCTATAGATAGCAGAACCAGTGTATTCTTCGTGCAAATGATGAATTTGATAACATTTTTATGATGAAGAAATGAATCCCCAAAACATTTTTTTATAATTTGAAGACTTATACACTTTTCTTAAAGATGTCAGGTTATGCTTTAGGTAAATGCCTTTAAAAGAAAGCTCTTGTAATAAAAATACAAAATGATGTAAAAAACAGCAGATGATTTATATTTAGGACAGACTCATTTGTCAAAACCAGATGTTAGGACTTCAAAAGATTCTTTATGTTCCAAGATTACCCTTTCATACATACTATACATTGTTTACACATTAATTGTAAAACAAAAATATATTCTATTTACAAATTATTTTCATGCATTTGTCATCCATGAATAAAACAAAAAATTATCTCAAAGTTTGGCAAGAGTTAAAAATGAATTCCACAGTTACAAGACTGTGTTGTTTTTGTTTTTTTTCCCTAAAATTGGAATTTAAACTAAAACAAACACTCAAATATATTTTTTAAAAATGTGGGATGCTGATTCTACCAGGGAACAAATGGTGTAGAGGCGCACCATAGTAAGGCATTATCTAACATCAAGTAACCAATCTATTTTATGACCAGGGTGTTCAGGCTCACAAACAACCGTGAAACATAGCTAGTCAATAAAAGTCCTTCATAAAGCCCTGACATTATACACCGTAGTTCCACTATCAGACCATCATAGGCAGCTAGCAGGACATGATGACTGTGCCACTGTATATTGGTGTTCCTGATGTCATTAAGTGGATCAGCTTCTGTCTCAGGTAATATATTTAACATAGAATCTGGCAGACACCACTGAGAAATATATTCAACATGTCAGAGAAGATATCAAGCAAGATAATACCCAATATAAAGGTACATACATTTGTGTTGTGGTAGTTACAGACAGATCAAGTCATGACCAATATCGGTAAGTTGCAATCCTTAGAGAGGGTGATTCATTTAATAATATCTTATGAAACATATTCATC